CTAATATTCAGATAAAGCAAATATATTTTACAGTGTGCACTGGCTGTTGGAGCAAATACAGACAATCCTGAAATTAAAAAATGGCTTACAATTTAGAACGTGGCTGAGATAACAGAAAGTGAGTGAAATCTATTCCCAGGAAAGGAAATTCACTCCTGAAAAGGTGTTTATGCAGAAAAGGTGTCTCCACTGAAGCTTTCTCATCAATACTTGTTTCCATGTCAGGCAGCATTTTCAAAATCCAATTATCACAGGGAAAGACAGTGAGGTAAAGTCTTCTGAACAGGGACACAAACAGCAAAACAAACAATATAATATCTATATTACTCCAGTTTCCTTTGTCCACATCTGAACTATGTAGACCAGTGGTTCTCAACCTGGCGTCCCCAGATTTTTTTGGCCTACAACTCCCAGAAATCCCAGCCAGTTTACCAGCTGTTAGGATTTCTGGGAGTTGTAGGCCAAAAACATCTGGTGACCCCAGGTTGAGAACCACTGATGTAGACCTTGGGGTCCATTATCCACAAGACCCAGGGGCCTGTTTGTCAGCCACTGGGATATCAAGTTTTAGCCATGGGTAGAACCAATTGTTTGGTTGATTCAAAAACTAGAATGCTTTCTCTGCTATAATCCACCTGATGCATCATTTACTATTAGTAAATGTTATCCTATAGTAATGTTATGCAGTTTTCAGTGTTAAGCAAAGACTTTAGAACAGCCCACCATAGGTATTCATTACCTTCCTCGCAATTTAAGGGAATTTAGCCAATGGAGAAAAAATACTGCTCATCTTTAAACTGAATAGAAAATGTGATAGTCTGCTTTAACATAACATTTGAAAGGTCTAAAGGGAGTAATTGCTATTGGTGTCAACAAACTTGAGGAATTCCTGTGTCAGCATAATAGTGGAGATAGGAAAATCTTATGTATCCCATTACTGAAAAGTGCATGGATATTTTTACAAAGTAAAACATGGGTGAATAATTGTTATGGCAGTAATACCACAAAGAGTTTTCCAAAAACAGGTAAAATTTCTAAAACCTTTGTGTCCAGAGGTTACAAAATAGTTTGAAATATAAATGTACACTCTATTAGGCTATCCTGTTCTGTTTGATGATGGTGATGAAGGAAAATCTACAGCAGTGTTCCCAAATATCCTTCTTGGAACCTTCAGCATCCCTTGAAAAAAGCACCAGCAAAACCTTAACTGACCAAATCATTAATTGCTGAGTTCCTGTGTAAAGTCATCCAAAAAATGAAATGCAAAGATACAGAATGGGGGACGCCTGGCTCGAGAGCAGTACGTGTGAAAAAGATCTTGGAGTCCTCGTGGACAACAAGTTAAACATGAGCCAACAATGTGATGTGGCGGCAAAAAAAGCCAATGGGATTTTGGCCTGCATCAATAGGAGCATAGTGTCTAGACTTGGGAAGTAATGCTACCCCTCTATTCTGCTTTGGTTAGACCACACCTGGAATATTGTGTCCAATTCTGGGCACCACAATTCAAGAGAGATATTGACAAGCTGGAATGTGTCCAGAGGAGGGCGACTAAAATGATCAAGGGTCTGGAGAACCAGCCCTATGAGGAGCGGCTTAAGGAGCTGGGCATGTTTAGCCTGAAGAAGAGAAGGCTGAGAGGAGATATGATAGCCATATATAAATATGTGAGAGGAAGCCACAGGGAGGAGGGAGCAAGCTTGTTTTCTGCTTCCTGGAGACTAGGACGCGGAACAATGGCTTCAAACTACAAGAGAGGAGATTCCATCTGAACATTAGGAAGAACTTCCTGACTGTGAGAGCCGTTCAGCAGTGGAACTCTCTGCCCCGGAGTGTGGTGGAGGCTCCTTCTTTGGAAGCTTTTAAACAGAGGCTGGATGGCCATCTGTCAGGGGTGATTTGAATGCAATATTCCTGCTTCTTGGCAGGGGGTTGGACTGGATGGCCCATGAGGTCTCTTCCAACTCTTTGATTCTATGATTCTATGATATGTGTGCGATGGGGGCTACGCTTTAAGCTCTTTGAACATTGTTATTTTCAAAGCAGCAAGCTTGCATGAGAACATTCAAGTGCACTTCCAATTTGCAAGATCAAAGTTTAGATGTTGCCAGAAAGCTGGCTAATGTAAGCATACTGCAAGCTCATGCAAAAGTACTTAACATATTTTCTTGACAGTCAGCTTTACAAGGAACTATGATTTAACCTTGGCTTACTTTTTAACTAGCTGAGAACTATTTTCTGAGTTCACATTCGCATAAGTTGTTTAATTTGAGACTGCTTTGTGCGTTTTTTTCAGTATCTTAACCTTCTAGTATGCATTTAACTACCCGACTTTGTTGTTCATAGTCTACACATACTGAATTATATGGCTAATAATTGTAGATTTTAGAAGTAGGATTTAGGATCACATGCAGTCGAATTCAGAAGAAATCAGAGATAATAATAATAATAATAATAATAATAATAATAATAACTTTATTTTTATACCCCGGCAACCATCTCCCCTAGGGGACTCAGGATGGCTTACAAGGGACACACCCAAGATTACAATTAAAACACACATGTAAAACACTTTAACCAATTAAAACGTTAGATAAAAACAATAAAAACACAATTGAAAGCAATATAAAAACAATACGGCTGAAAGAAACATAGCTGAGGTATAGATTCAATGAGTGCAATACATTTTTACAGGAGCGCAGGAAAGTGCAACAATACAGTAAACTGGGCAGAAAATACTGATATTAATGAACCATGATTAAAAGTGCAAGAAGGAATGTTAGAGGAAGGGGAACATGAAATCCCATGGCATTAACTAGATTGCTTCTCTATGGCAAATGATTTGGACCACAGTGTCTGGATGTCATAGGATGAAATGGAATTACTCCACCATTCTCTAATATCCTTCTCATGGTACAACTCCTTAAGATTTTGAATATATTGAACACAACTGCGTTTCTTACATGCCTGTCCCAGATCATAAATCTTCAGCCTCTTTTTTTTAATGGATTATGAAATACTATCAGTAAACCAATCAGATTTGATTCAGGCCCAAAGCACATGCACTGAATGTATCACTTGAAGCACTTTAGGGTTTGGCTAAAAAATTAATCGGAAGAATAGAGTGAAAATGTCATAAGGACTGCAGCTTGTGCAGAGAGGAATTCAAGTTGATTGCAATCCTGATAAAAATTGTCTCCCCTTTTCTGCAACAATAGGGAGTGTAAGCCGCCCTGAGTGCCCTTTGGGATGAGAGAAGCGGGGTATAAATATAGCAAACAAATAGTAACTAAAAAGAGCTTATTTGTGAACAGTAGAAGCCCCAGGGTGGGTGGTTTTGATTGAGATTGGGACTAGGGATAAAAATGTTGACATTCACTTCTCATGAACTGTAGTCCTGAGGAAGATCATTCTGTTACTTTGTAACCAAGGATATATCCCAGTGATATGTGTAGTGAGATGTGTAGGTTGGCCTTCAACCATGAATTTTGGATAGTCAGTTCCCTCCATTGACTACAGCTTCTACCAACATATTTGTTTATTTATCATGTCAGAAGCAAATTGAGAATACAGTTATAATGTTTTTTTTTAAAAAAAAAAACCCACAAACACTTGGCATTGTACTAAATTTCCTTTGACCTTCAAGTGCCTCTGGTGTCACTGTAAGAAGGTCCTCCATTGTCCATGTGGCAGGGCTCAGACTGCATTGTAGTAAGCAGTCTGTTGTTTGCTCTTCTCCAGACTCGCATGTTGTGGACTCCAATTAGTGGCCCTATTTCTTAAGGTTAGATCTGCATCTAACCTTAAGAAATAGAGCACAGTCTGTTCAGTGTCTTCCAAGTTGTCCAGCTTTCTGTGTGCCCAGGGGGGAGTTTCTCATCCGGAATCAGCCACTGATTGAGGTTCCAGGTTTTAACCTGCCACTTTTGGATCCTCGCTTGCTGAGGTGTTCCTGTGAGTATCTCTGTAGATCTTATTTTCTGTTTCTTGATTTAAGTCGTTGGCATGCCGGCTGATACCCGAACAGAGGATGAGCCGGAGATGTCAATTCCTTGGCCCTTTAATTGCTGGCTGCTACTTCCTGACGGATGTCAGGTGGTGCAATACTGGCTAAACAATATAATTTCTCCAGCAGTGTTGGACGTAGACATCCTGTGATAACGCGGCATGTCCCATTAAGAGCCGCGTCCACTGTTTTAACGTGGTAAGATGTATTCCACACTGGGCATGTGTACTCAGCAGCAGACTAGCAAAGTGCAAGTGCAGATGTCTTTGTATCTGGTTGTGATCCCCAGGTTATGTCAGTCAGCTTTCATATGATATTGTTTCTAGCACCCACTTTTTGCTTGATAGTCAACCAGTGCTTCTTATAAGTCAGAACATGGTCCAGAATTACTCCCAGGTATTTTGGTGTGCTGCAATGCTCCAGTGGGATTCCTTCCTCAGGGCTCGAGTTGCACGTCTGTTCTTAAGATGAAAAGCACACGCCTGCATTTTAGATGGATTAGGTGTCTTCGTTTCCCCTGTAATCGGCAGTAAGAGTGTGCTTCAGAGGAGCGTGCTTGCTCCATCAATGTTTAACATTTATACAAATGTTCAGCCATTGCCAGAAGGGATAGAACGTTTCATCTATGCTGATGATTGTACTATCACCACTCAAGCAGGGAGCTTTGAACTAGTTGAACATAATAATGAAATAATTGAAAATTGTATGTTTTCTTTCCACCTAACAAATGTCTTTTAACAGTAGATGGAACTTGTTGGATTCTATGATTTGGGATATCTTAAGTGAATCACTGACTCCCACTTTCCACCACTTTTATCTACGAAATGGTTTACTGCTGACATAGTTTTAAAAGATTGTTGTAAGAATGATTGAAATAATCTTAAGGGTTATCTTTTTATCTCTTATGAAAAGTGCTACATGTTAATGGTAAAAAAATAATGATTTGTATAACTCCCAAGGAAGCTTGCATTTGATGTTTTATATTTCTTTATAGATGCAGCAGCTTGAAAAACAAGTTGTTGATGCAGACCGTCAAGCAGAAAAGGCTTTTCAGCAGGTATGTTCATAGCACAAAATGATCTGTAGTAGCATGATTCTGAAAATAAGATAATATACATTCATTTATTTCATCATAGGTTTGTAGAACGTGTGTTATTTCCTACATGAAATTGATAGCATTGTAGGAAAGGCATTATATGAAGAAAGCTTTTATGAGAGTTGGGATAGTTTGTTAATTTATTTATTTGTGATGAACAGTGGTTTTGGATCTTCCTATGTAATTACGTAATGATATTGTAGCAGTCTCTCAAATTTACTTCTCCAGTGAAGTTCAATTAAAAAAAAACAAGAAGTATGATCCCTTTTTTGGTATGCTTATTGTGTAGAGATGTTATGCCCTTATCTAGAGTGTTTGTACAAATATGCTAGCAATTTGAAGATGGTTAGGCCTTGACTTTTGTCTTCACTAATTTTGTCAAGATATTCAGATATCCAATAATTTTCTATATAGTGTAGTGTGATTTATGTTTATGCAAAAGAGGAGCAATGTATTTTAAGATAAGATCAGTCTGCCCCCCCCCCCCCCCCATTTTTGAAGCTGAACAAGCTTTGAGACTATAGCTTCTTTTTGGAAGGGTTTTTAAGCAAATCAGTATACAGGGTTTTTTTAAAAAGTGAACCAGTATCGCTAGGAATCTGATGTAACTTTCAGCATGCTGTATTATATTAGTAAAAACTACATATGATCTAAATAAAAGGGTGAGGACTAAAAATAGTGTAGAATTGAACTGTCATTGTATGCACGAAGGAGAGTAATTTCCAAATAGTTTTGTCTGATAAAATATATTAGTTTTTGGACATTGATAAAAGGGGAGCTGTATTACACCTGCCAAGGCAACTGGGTTGATACATCTTCATTTTGATCCATGTGTCAAATATGGATGAAGATACACAGTCAACTGCAAGTAATTTTAAGCAGATGGACAACAGATGAATAAGTTTCCTAACACAGATGCCACCCATCTGCATTGCTTTTCTTTCAAACAAGTCACGAAAAGCTGAATTTAGACTCAAAGTAGAGTACAAGAGGTAACAAAACTGCTAGTGTATAGCAAAGTAGAGATTGTCCCCAGTTGGCCAGGTGTTGGGATACATCCCCTAAAAAAGTGAAGCATTGAGAAAAATTGCGAAGGGGTGCTTACTGCTTGCAAACCTTCTAGCACTTTCCAAAGTGGTAACAGTAAAAATTGAATATTACAAAAATTTAGTCCAGCAACAATTCCAACAAGATTCAACAGTGAATGTGGAAATGCTTTAAAATTTTTATGGTGGGATGTTTCTAAATAATAGTTTTCACAGCAGATGTTTACAATAAATATTGCAAATTATGAAATAATATTATATTATTATATGTTATAGAGCAATATTATGAAAAATGGCTATGTCTTTGTATAATATGTGATTTTATGTGCTATGTTGAATAATGTTTAATGTTTTATTGGGGAGGGTCAATTTTGATGTTTTATACTGTTTTTTATTGATGGCATTGAATTTTTGCCAACACTGTGAACTGCCCTGAGTCCCCTTCGGGGTTGAGAAGGGCAGTATACAAATAATGCAAATAAATAAAAAAATAAAAATACAAAAGTTTATAAAATTTAGAATTAGACATGATGCAGAAGCACCGCCCTTACAAACTTCTACATCCTTCTGGATTTGAAATTCTTCATAATATTACAAGTATAGAAATTGAGGAACGATGGCCACCATGTCTCGAGTGGTCAATCTGCTCTGAGTCTTAGGCTTCGTTTACGTTGTAGCATTAATGCAGTTTGACACCAATTTAACTGCCATGGCTCAGTTCCATGGAATCATAGGAGTCGTACCAGGTAGAACATAAAATGTGCTGAACATGAAGAGCCTGCCCACATTATGACTTAACTGCAGATCCAGTTCTTCTTCCTCTTCCTGCATGCTGTGTGCTTCCGTTTTAACTGTAAATTGCTTTTAATCCTAGTGTTAAATGATACATAAATGAATTAACAGCAATAACAAAATATAGTTTGCATCTTTTATCCGTCCTGGAAGCTTATTTATCACTGTTTAAAATGTTTGCTTATGTGTAGATATTGACACTTTGGTAATTTTATACTGTGAAATGTATTGTAAATAATTCCTATTTTATATACAGTGTTTTATTTTACCTTCTAGGTCCAGATTATGGAAGAGAAACTAAAAGCTGCTAACATCCAAACCAGTGAGTCAGAGACAAGGTTGTATAAGAAGTGCCAAGATTTGGAGATACTGATGCAGGAGAAAGATGACGTTATACAGAATTTGGAGCAACAGCTTCTAGAGCAGGTTGGAAATAAGAGTGCTGTCATTCATCTGGATTTGTAGAAAGAGAATATAATGGGGGGGGGGGGGTTAATGAAAACAAAATGTTTGGAATTTCCCCAAATTTCCACCAAGTTAATACATTGTTGAAACATTTTCAGATTGTTTTAAGCTATTTATTGATAACCAGTTAAATATGGATGGTGTTTTCTTGTCTGGAACAGGGAGAGAGAAAAATGAACAGAAAAAGAAAGTGTGCATAATTGTAGCAATAGGCAATTGCTCATTTTTCTTTTGAAAACTGCATTCCATTAATTTCTGCAAAGAATAAGATGGTAGTCCCAATTTGTGGGAGGTGGGTGTCCTTACTAAAGAAAATAGGCGCTCCAACAATCAGGTTGAAGATCCCCAACCAATCCCAATTATGTGAATCATCATTTTCTTATGCTCTAGCTTGGTCCTGGCATAACAGCAGCAGTTGTGGTGCTAGTGTACCATTGTTTTCACTACTCTGTACAAGTGCCCTGCAGAAGGTCACCTGACACACTCCCAACAATTGGGGATTCTTCTTAAAGAGAAGATGTAAAAGTGTTTTCCTTATTCTTATAAGGTTTTGCTCTTTGTAATTGGATCAGGGTTAGATGTTGTAATGCTTGGTAAGCCATAAAATATTTTTTAAATATCCGAGATGCAGCTGTAAAAAAGATTAAGTCGAGCTTATTGTTTCAGAAGCAAATAAGAATACAAGAGGCAAAAATTATAGAGGAAAAAGCAGCAAAGATCAAAGAATGGGTGACTGTCAAGCTCCATGAGGTGAGTCTCATGTTATTTATTATTTTATTTATTTGGGGGTTCTTTTACCCCGCCCTTCTCACCCCGAAGGGGACTCRGGGCGGCTTACAGAAGCAAGGCACAATTCGATGCCAGCAGTACAAAACAATCAAGACACAAAATTAYACAATTACATCACACTAGTTCATGCATTATATCAATAAAATCAATAAAATCAATAAAACCAATACAAACCCAATGTTGRCTGTGTAGAATGTATAGCAGAGGGTTCTCAGCACTTTGAAGTCAATGAAACTGTCCCTATATTTTTTTTAAATAATCTTTATTAAAAACTGTCCCTATATAATTTGGGGGGAAATTCTTYAGCATAAAGTGTATGAATGTTCTTCAGATGAAGTGGGAACTCTAAACAATGCACAGTGAAAACCTTACTCAAATAATTAGTGTCCCAATAGCACAAAGGCACAATTTATCAGCCAAGAAAACATGTTGCTAGGAGCATGTTGCTTCTTCCTGACATCCTAGAACAATGGTTCCCAACCTGTACTCTGTGGACCACCAGTGGTCCGCAAGAACTAAATATGGCCTGCGGTCTCACTGTTACTACGCTGTTGCAACGAGCGACTGGTCTTGTGAAACCCTCTTATAGTGCTGAGGATTATTAAATATGGTTTTCTGTGGGTGAGCAGATGGCGACTACTGGATGGCATATGTTCTGTATAAGAAACTAGAGTTGATGTGGTCTATCCAATGCAATTTTCTGAATAACCAAACCAAATCTAATGTTGACCAAAACCAGATTTGTAACCCTTTTGGTACTAGGTAATCCCTGCTCAAAAAAGGGCTGGGAACCACTGTCCTAGAGAATGGGAATATATAGGTGAGCATCATTTCCTGTTTGAGCATTAAAATTTAATTTCTCTAATTTTAAGGGGAAAATGTGTACCGCAGACTTATTCTGTGTAAGGTTTTCTGATAACCATAATTTGTATATGTGAAATTAAAATACCCCTTGAGGCTAAATTGAAAAACAGGGATTCTAAAAAAAAAAAAAAAACCCTCACATGTAGTTTGAAATTCTACTCCCGTGTACTTAACATTACATCTCTTTATATGTGAACCTTCTGTGTTAGCTGTTCTAAGATAAGCAAGTAAAAGGTTTCAGCCTTGTTCCAGAAGCATTATCTCCTTACGTTTCGCCTGCATCTATGGCAGGCATCCTCAGAGGTTGGGATGTCTCACAACCTCTGAGGATGCCTGCCATAGATGCAGGCGAAACATCAGGAGAGAATGCTTCTGGAACATGGCCATACAGTCTGAAAAACTTACAACAACCCAGTGATTCTGGCCATGGAAGCCTTCAACAATACATGGTTTGAGCCTTCTTCAAATAAGATGAGAGGAAAATATGAGGGAACAAGATGTACATTCTAACCTTTCACCTAAGAGTGAGATTTGTGTATTTAATGGTTTCAGCTAGAAGTAGAGAATCAGAACCTTCGCATGATCAACCAAAACCAGACTGAAGAAATGAGGCTGCTGCAGAACAAACTGCAAGGTAAGCACTTCAAACAATATACATTTTCTTGGTGGAGGAAAGTATTTTGTATTGTTCAAAGAAGGGAAATATTTAATTGAGTTACTCCAAGTACTTTCATACTAAGTGCATACATATGTATTTATAACAGGTTGTACCCAATGCTAGCTAGAACAAATGGATATGATGTTTCTGCATAAGAAGCCTCACCTCCTGCAGAAACATGCCACCGGAATATTCCTAAAAATATTTGCTTGGAATATGGTTTGGAGGCTGCTGTAGCAGAGATAGTTGATGATCAGGTAGAGTTTGGCTGCATTAACTAGTGCTGAACACATTAATCACAAATACCTGTGGCAATGTGTCACTCCAAATGTGTGGCAAAATACAACTTTCTTCACTAAATATACTAAAATACATTAAACATGAAATTGAAATGAACAAATACAATCAAGAAACACTGATAAAAGTGTGTAATATTATACTATTATGGGCTTTATAGTATTGTTTTCATGTGGACAGTTTCATGTCATTTGTGATACTTTTATTTGTCAAAATAATAAAGATTTCTCCACTTGTGAGGTTTCAATTTTTTTCCCCTTTGTGAATTAACATAGTTTCCTTTTATGTTGGCATCTAATAGCAGAATACATGAAATCTTGATATTTGTGTTATTATTCTACAGAACTTCAGGGAAAGAAATCTGTTCCTGCAACACATAAACCTTCAGAAGGCCAGCGACTGAGCAGCTTGACTTTTGGATGCTTCCTAAATAGAGCAAAAAGCCCGCAACAAGTTCCTAAGCCAGAAGACCCAAACAACTCTGCATCAAAGCAAGCTGAACTGAGTGAAGGCAACAGCAGTCTAGGTATTTTGGATGTTAATGACTAGGGATTGCTATTTCAGTTCTAAACAGATGTATAAGAAATCATTTTTTTTCTATTGATCATGCAGTTTTTAATGTAAGATTAAAGGGAACAATTTTTGTTGGAGAAACTTTGGGGGTTTTCAACATTGTTTTGAACTGATTGACATGTGTGCATATTTGTCCGTCCCTTCAAGTCACCTGACAACTTATAGTGACCTTGTGAATTGCGAGGAATACTCAAAAGTGGTTTTATCAGTTTCTCCCTCTGAAATCTAGTCTACAGCACTTGGTATTAGCTGTCAGTATCCCATCTAAGTACTAACCTTGCACAGCTGGTGCCTTTAGAGCAATGGTTCTCAACCTGTGAGTGGCTTTCAACTCCCAGAAATCCTAACAGCTGGTAAACTGGCTGGGATTTCTGGGAGTTGTTGGCCAAAACACTTGTGAACCCACAAGTAGAGAACCACTGCTTTAGGGTTTTTAGCTCTGGATTGATTTGTAAGTGGTATTTTATAAGAAATAACATAGATGGTTCATGTGCAAAGAAAAGAATGAGGGTAGTTGTATGAATTTATAAACTATCACTTCAAAAATTATAGTTACTGAGAAGTAACCTGTTCTCTCCCCCACTTCTCTTGCTGCACTTTGAATTGATTCCCTGTTGTGACTTAACAAACAAAAAATAAAAACAAATTAGTATTGACTGAAGCTAATGCCATTGCCTAACTGTAGTGCAATTCACATGAAGATGGGGGAGGTTGGGATTAGAAAGTGAGTGAACTTGAATTCTGTTCTAATATGTTTAGGAAAATGTCCATCTCACAACCTTATATCTTTCTTCAACTCTTAATGACCTGTTACAGCCGGTATTTCAACCAGTAAATATTTAGAAAAGAAATAATTTAAAATGAGGGAAACCTATTAATATGAGTCTTCTCTTCAGACTAAAACAAATTTCATACATTTGAATAGGTCACTTCAAAATAGATTTTGTTGACGAACTCTGGACTATGAAACTCTATATTAACATAGAGTTAGAATACTGTGCCTTATTTTACAAGCACTGTTGGTCTTAACAGAATTATCTCAATATGTTGAGGACACTGGGATACCAGTGATTGAATTCACAGTTAGCCATGGAAGCCCATTGGGTTACACACACAAGTCACACTCTCTGTCTCAAAGGAGGCAAGGGCAAATGCTGCTAAGAAAACTCCATAAGTTTGTCTTAGGGTGACCATAGGCCAGAAATGAATTGAGGGCACACAATAACAAATTGTCTTAGGGTGACCATAGGCCAGAAATGAATTGAGGGCACACAACAACAAATTACATTAACTGGATGTGATCAATCCGGCTACTCTTCGTTGTTGCTGATAATACTGTACGCCACTCACATAAACTGTGCATTTCTGTTTTCTTGATTGAAAAATTTCTGTCTCTACATCGATGTAACATGCACATGGTCTCTTTTTTAACACTTCCCAAATGTGTTTTTTTAGAGAAAGAGAACCAGGAAACATCTTCCGTTGGCTCAACAACGTATGGAAATAATAGATGTCTGAAGCCCTTACAACAAAATGCTTTTATGCTAGAACAAAGACAAGCAGTAAAGTCAAAAGATCTAGATAGTAATGTGTCAAAGAATTCCTGCATTACAGTAAGCGATTGGAGCTCTGACGAAGAAGAAACAGGCAAGAGCAGATCAAAATCTAGGTGTGCATCTACTCTTTCAAGCCACACATCTGAAGAGGGTACAGGATACAGCAGAATTGGGAGTGAAATGTACTTGACAGCATCAGATGACAGCAGTTCTTTTATGGAAGAAGAAGGTTTCCAAGCTCAAGGAAATATACACAAAAAATTATATTCTTGGCAACAAGGGTCACCATGGAAAAACCAGAACCATGTCATTGGAAAAAGCAATTTGGAATCCTTCGGCGACAAGAAAGACCATGATAGTTTTTCTGATGAACTGAATAAGAGGTTTCAGTCCCACAAGCTGGATTATTCATCCTCCTCTAGTGAGGCCAATACTCCAAGTCCAATTCTAACCCCAGCTCTAGCTCCTAAGCACCCAGCACTGATACTAGCAGTGGACTCTGACAGACAGCTGGATTCTCCATCAAATTTGCCCCCTCCAAAGCTGAGGACTCCAAGTGTCTTTGCTCTAAACACAGCATTGGCAAAAAAACATTTTAGCCAACCATCTCTATGTTCAGACAAAATGTTCGGCAAAAACAGAAATGCAATTAGCATGATACGTCCCTTTAAGCCTCAGGAAACAGATATTGATCAGTTGGATGGAGAAGGTACAGATGTCTTAGAAAAGATGGATATTGACTGTAACGATGAACTCTTTACTTATGATGCCTGTGAAACTCAATGTCCAGAATCCTTGGACTCAGGTGATGCAAGGAGAACTGCAAGCAGCAAGCCTCCTACCCCACCACTGCATCGATTCCCCTCTTGGGTAAATTAAATTATTCCTAACAATATTCCAGTTTCATAATTCAATATGAAATAGTTCATCTTTTCATTAATTTTTGAAATGTGTTCACAAACTGTCTTTGCCCATTTTAACTGTTGAGATTATATATATATTTAGTAAGTCTAACCAGGGGTTACCAAGAGACAGAGAGATCTAGGCCCCTTCCACATAGCCCTATATCCCAGATTATTAAGGCTGAATATCTCACATTATCTGAGTGTGGACTCAGATAACCCAGTTCAAGGCAGATATTGTGGGATTTTCAGCCTTTGTATTCTGGGATATAGGGCTGTGTGGAAGGGCCCTAAGTCAGTGGTTCCCAATTGTTTTTTGACCAGGGACCAATTTGACCAGGGATCATTCTCCAATATTAGTACCAAAAGGGTTACGAACTAGTTTTTGGTCGACTTTAGATTCGGTTTGGTTATTTGGGGTGCTGATTCAGAAAATTGCATTTGGTAGACCACATCAGCCCTAGTTTCTGGTACAGAATATAAACCATCTTGTATTTGCCATCTGCTTGCCCACAGAAAACTATATTTAATAAGCCTCGTCACTGTAAGAGGGTTTCGCAAGACCAGTCGCTCTTGTGGCAACGGTGTAGTAACGGTGAGGCCACAGACCATATTTTTGTTCTTGTGGACCACTGGTGGTCCACAGAGCACAGGTTGGAAACCACTGGTCTAAATGAAGTAGAAAATTGCCACTAGATAAGATTGTAGGAGATCCTTAGGGTCTCTTGTTAAGATATTTTTTCCAACATTATTGGCCAAGGAAGCAGATATTCACTTCATCATACTCTCTTAGCCCAGAGGAGAAGCTAAAAAGAGATTGTAGCACATTTGAGCCATTAAGACATACTTTTTTAATATCTTCGGTATCTACGTTGGCAACCTATTGAGATAATTATGTATTGCTAAAGTCCCATCTGAATTTGAATAAGAACTAGAATTAAAGGACATGCATTTTTTCCAACTTTGCATTTCCTGGAATTATCCTTGTCTCTGTTACTTCCTTCAGTTATGTTTATAAAGCAATTTATGGGCTTTGCTTGGAACATGCTGTGAGGAAGAAATAGTCATTAGCATCCCCATTTTATATTTCCTTTAAGTTACTTAAGTCATTGTATAGAGTGTTATTTGTGTGACTTAGTAAAAACAACCCAAGAATTGGAATAAGATTTTGTACTGATATATATTATGATGGGTTAGCAACTGAAAATTGCTGCAAACATATTTAAGTATGTCTGAAAAAGATATGTAAACATTTACCATACACACATTTTCTTAAAGTCCTGTTGAATTTAGGTATAATAAATGTTTATTAAATACATATAAGGTTAATTGATTCCTGATAGTGTGTATAGCAGAAGAGTAAAAAAAGTGATGGGTTATATTCAGCCAGTGTCATCCAGCAACTGTACATAAACCAATTTGCAGTCCTCATTTGTCATCCCAAATTTGCTCTGAAGGCTAGAAGACAATCTTGAGAAGATTTGTGGGATGAGTGAGGGACTGCAGATGCAAAAACTACCAGAGGAGATCTTTTTGCGCTAATTCTATTTGTGTAGCTTAAAAGTGAATATTATATGCAGTTAAAATATTATAGTTTTTACTTACTTAGGTGATCCCTCATTGTCCAAGTAGGATAATCTTCCAGGGTGGGTCCGTAGGTGACTATGGAGGCCTATTCTTGATCTGCATCGTCTCCCGCAGTGAGGGCATTGGTTTCCATGTGGAAGGTGGTCCCGGTCGGGGTTGGCTTGATGCGCCTTCCTCTTGGCACGTTTGTCTCTTTCGCCCTCCATTTGTGCCTCTTCAAATTCTGCAGCACTGCTGGTCACAGCTGACCTCCAGCTGGAGCGCTCACAGGCCAGGGCTTCCCAGTTCTCAGTATCAACAAACTGTGTCTAATGACAGAAATACTTAGCTAAGAAACAAATTAAACTATTGGATTGCTGTGAGTTTTCCAGACTGTATGGCCATGTTCCAGAAGCATTTTCTCCTGACATATTTGTCAGGCATTGTCAGAGGTTGTGAGGTCTGTTGGAAACTAGGCAAGTGAGGTTCATATATCTGTGGAATAATGTCCAGGGTGGGAGAAAGAATTCTTGTCTGTTCGAGGCAAGTGTGAATGTTGCAATTGGCCACCTTGGTTAGCATTGAATAACTACCTTGGACATCCCACAGATATATAAACTCCACTTGCCTAGTTTCCAACAGACCTCACAACCTCTGAGGATGCCTGCCATAGATTGGGTGAAACGTCAGGAGAGAATGCTTCTGGAACATGGCCCATACAGCCCACAAAACTCACAGCAACTCATTGATTCTGGTCATGAAACCCTTTGACAACAAATCAAACTATTTCTCAAAACAAGAAATCCGGCAATGGTTTGCTAAATTGATGAGGAATAGATTAAAAAAAACCAAAATGCATGTAAATCACAGTATGAAAAGAATGCAATATTCATTTTAGATTTTAGCTATTTGAAGAGGGTGTTAATTCTCCCAGTTGAGTAGAAATCAACCACAGTTGAAATCTGAATATAGCCTTAAATTTATGGAGAGAAGGTGTAATTCATATTATTAAAAATCTTTTTGTATGTCAGGAAAGCAGAATTTATGCTGTCGCCAAGTCGGGTTTACACTTTTCTGAGGCCTTTAGCATGGACTCCTTCAATAAAAGTAAGTTGCCAAGACTAAACTATGAAATATTTTAGGAGGAAATCTTTGTGTATGCATGCTAAGAGTCAGTAAAATGAATATGACGAAGAACAGAAGAATTTGAGAGAGTACAATGTTTCTTTTATTCGGAATTATTTCTGCTAATTTATTTATTTGCTATAATTTTATAATTTCCCTAAATAATTTCTGAAAATTCACACAACAGGGAAATAGATTGATAAAGTACAAGAGACACACACCCCTTTTCATACTTTGGTTGTATACTTCTATATACTGTTCAGATTAACTATTTTGCTGAAACTTAACTCGGTGAACAACCTTTTTATAAATAAGAATAAACCAAGGATTTTTGGAAAGTATTTTGAAAAAGAAATATTTATTTCAGGTTCTACTTCTTCAACTTCATATTCGTCATCAGGACTTTACACGTCGTTAATATACAAGAATGTGACTACACCAGTCTATACTACTCTTAAAGGGGTAACTATATCTCTGTTATAAATAATATCCAGTTACAAGAAAATTGCACATAACTTCAGAACGTTTAGACACATAGTTCTATATTTAAATGTTAATAGTTTGAAAGCATTGTTCAGCTTCTATTTCACAGTAGCATGCTCTGGTTAATTGCAATCGTCTTTTCTTGTGGGTTTTGGAAATATGAAAAGATTTACATTTGGAAATACAAATGGTAAAATACTTACCAGGTGGTATATTGTTATTTCATATGCCAGATGTGAAGCCTGAATGTATCAATAACATCCAGAGTGTTCTAGAGTCCAAAATATTGGTGGAAAGAATGTTAATGTAAAGAGCCAACTAGTGAATACAATTGTGAATATTCAGCTTGGCTGTAGTACAACTCGATCTTCAGGTTCATGAACAGAGTATTCTTAAGAGAGGCTGATTTATATTAAATCTGAGCAAAATATTGTGTCTGGTTGGCCAGAAACAATGAGTATCCAGCAGCCACATATCTCCTTACCACAAAAATGTTTAGCAGTATCTGTGATGTGTCTGAATAATATGAAATGGGGGCAAGATTGGGCCACATTCTACTTTGTATTTACTTTTGTTGAACTATCTATGCATATTTTATCAAATTGAGTTTTGGAATATTAAGTAGACATTATTTTAGCAGAGGAGCATTTGTGTGAACAGGACAAGTCTACTTGACATCAGTATCTTTGGAACAACTGTGCATGGCATTGGTCCCCACACATGGGTCCTGGATACAGGCATTGACCAACCCACATGTTGATCAGCGAACCCAATAGTCCAACCCAATCCCAGAATCCATTGGTCTGGTCTGGTGCTGCAACCCATGGAATGACCATGTAGGCAACAGACCCCCATTGAATATATTTCTCTGCCATCAGGGTGTACTATAGAGGCACCTGTTCCTGGAGCCAGTCCAGACCTGGCTCAACTGCAGACCCATCGAGTCCCTGAGAGGGCACTCTGATACCATTACTCATGCTCAAGGAGCACAAGCATTCAAATTGCCCTACCCAGGACCCATGTAAACACCCTCACCCAACATCCACAACCTTAACATGAAGTCTGTCAAGAAGGGAATTGCCTGGGTGCTGCTACATAGCACAGCCACACCTTCCCATGTCCCACATGGCAAATCATAAGAGCCAATTCTAATCTGCATCTTTGAAACATGTGAACAATTTTATATAGGTCTATAGAACTTGCCTGCAAGTCCTTCGACTCCCCCCCCCCCCCCCCCCCCCCCCCCCCCCCACACACACACACACTACACTCCAACCTGTGTTTTTATTATGCTGTTGTGCTAATAAAAATTTTGGACAGTTTATTTTAGCTGTCATAGTGTTAAAGTAATGCAAGTTTAAAGCAAGTTTTTAATGTCTTTCTTCAGAAAGCAGCGCAAATCAGCAACAACCCATTTTTAGATGATTCATCTGGGTCTGAAGAAGAAGACAGTTCTCGATCTAGTTCTCGAACATCTGAATCAGACTCTCGAAGCAGAAGTGGCCCAGGTAGTCCACGGGCCATGAAGCGAGGTGAGCAAGATGCTAAGATAGTTTTGAATTTTTTGTTGGGTGAGTGGGCTTATTAACAAAAGACGCTCCCCATAAATGCACAGCACAGTAACTTATTAGCAGCAGTGTGACCCAGCACCAGTAGCCAAAAGTCATGAACAAAACAAAAACACACAGACCACTGTTATCTCTTCCTTTGGAGGCTTTTCTTTGTAGCAAAATAATATAATTGCACTATTTACAAAAATAAGGTTTCCATAACACAGATAAAGTTCTTTATACTTCTTTCTTTGTTTCTTTGCTCACTGGATTTCTTTCTCAAGCAGATAAACAGCTTACAACTTTGCTCTCACAGAGCCTCCTCTCACACCAAACTTACACAGGAGCTTCTCTCACCGAAGTTTCTCACACCAGGACTTCTAACACTGGGGCTGGCTACGCTACAGGCACACCTGCTTATATTGAACTGTAGCTTTTGTCAAGTCATTGCACCCATTTTAAACCTTTTAGTTCTTGACTCACATTTTTGTAATTAAAAATACCTAGTTAATTTTTAATACTTCTGACATTTTTCTATCTTTCTGAAGAACTGGGGGGGGGGGGGGGTTGGACTGAATGGCCCTTGTGGTCTCTTCCAACTCTGTTTCTATGAAAATGGGACTTTCTGTATAGTAATAATCCACAGTATACATTTCTAACAAAATCTTACACAATTCCTGTCATTTCATAGTGACAAAGAACTTGTTCATTTCTTTGAAAAAATAAAGAACGCCTGAATTCCAGGCACATTGAAAATCCAGGCAGAGACAAAACATAGAAGATTCATTGACTCAAGCTGTGTCTTCACAAGCCATATAAAATGGACTCCCCTTTCAACTTCTACCCTTGCACAGCCAACTAAAGAAGACGTGTTTTGATTTCTTTAACCACAATTTCACATTGTGTCTGAATTGGAAGACGGATTTTAGTATTGTGTATAAGCATGGCTTGTAACATATTCATGTTCCAAAAATTCTTTATTGAGGCATTGTCTTAAGACTCAATCTGACCACTGAAGGTGAAAACATAAACACCTTCCTCAAGTCTCTAATTATTCAGCCTCACTTTAGACAAGAATGTCCAGCATGACTTAAATCTCTTCAGTGCATCATCCTAAGAAAATGTACTGGGGTCGTTCCAGAATTGCTGACAAGAGCCATATCACTGCTTATTCCCATAAGTAGCTCAGAGCAGAAATGCAGTATATTTATGAAAAAGAACAAAAAGTGCAATAAATCAAAGGAGAATTCTAATATATAATGACTGCATTTGAGGAGCATCTATTTCATATATAAAGGAAAGTCAAATCTCCTGGAATATGAGTACAGGATTCATCCACTAATGTTATTCTGATATTTCTTGAACTAATATCTCTCACATTTCATAATACATAAAGTCCTTCAATATCAAACAGATTATTTTTGGGTGGTTGTGAGTTTTTCAGGCTGTCTGGCCATGATCCAGAAGTAGTCTCTCCTGATGTTTTGCCCACATCTATGGCAGGCATCCTCAGATTGTGAGGTCTGTTGGAAACTTTAGCATTCACACTTGCCTCAAGCAGACAAGAGTTCTTTCTCCCACCCTGGACATTCTACGGATATATAAACTCCCCTTGCCTAGTTTCCAACAGAACTCACAACCTCTGAGGATGCCTTCCATAGATGTGGGTGAAACGTCAGGAGAGAATGTTTCTGGAACATGGCCATACAGCCCAGAAAACTCACAGCAACCCAGTGATTCCGGCTATGAAAGCCTTCAACAACACAGGTTATTTATAATTGTGTCACCTTTGACAAGGAAAAATACATGAATTTGTATACTTGCTTTTCTTTCAGGTGTTTCTCTTTCTTCAGTGATATCAGAAGGTGATTATGCCATTCCTCCTGATGCTTACTCAACTGACACCGACTACTCAGAACCAGAACAAAAGTTGCCAAAGACCTGCTCATCATCTAGTGATAATGGGAAAAATGTAAGTATGGTACAGCCTCATTTATACTAGGGTTCTTACAGTAGCATAACACTTTTGGTTTCTTAGGTTAAAATATAATCGTGCTACCTATATCACTTCTTAATAACAATAATAATAAAATAATAACTTTATTTTTGTACCCCGCCTCCATCTCCTCATAATAATAATAATAATAATAATAATAATAATAACTTTATTTTTGTACCCCGCCTCCATCTCCCCGAAGGGACTTGGGGCGGCTTACATGGGGACAAACCTGATCAACATAGTTAAAAGATAACACATTAAAATACCCAACAACAGCATAAAACACAATAAAACAACATTATAACCATATCTTTGTGAGTCTGCCCAAGTTTAAGATATGTGGCTTTCTGTCAGTCCCACCATCTTCACAGGTATGTTTGTTGTGGATGTGGGAAAGAGCCTTCTCAGTGACTGCTCCCAGGTTGTGCAATTTCATCCTATGGGAGATTAAATTAAATCCTCTCTGCTGCTTTTGTATATGGGCAGGACTTTGGCTCTTGACCACTTGGAGCAGAAGGTGCTTGTAATGAAATGTGTTGTACTTGTCTCTCTTTAATTATGTCTTAACTGTGTTTGAAACTGTTTTATCTTTGTGTTTTAATAGAATTGTTGTTTAATATTCTAAATTTTTATACTAATAGTTTTCAGCTGGACATGCTGTAAATTATCTTGAATCCTGGGAAATAAGTGGGATATTAAAAAAAAGAAAAGAATGAATATTTGGTCTGATCCACTGGGAGTACTCTTGTGTCCTGATACTGGTCTGGTTGGGTTTGTGAAATAGAAACAAAAATAAACATACATACAGGCAGAACTAGTTGTATACATTTCTGTTTTTGTTTCAGGAAAATTATGTGTGCTTTTTATGCGTTTAATTCAAAATCTTCACCTTCCCAAAAGAGGAGGAAAGTACTTCTGAGCAGCTGCAGGTTTGTTTTTAAATGTGTGCAGGACTGGGCAAAATGGGAAGAGAAAGAAAGACAAATTGAGTAAAAAGATACACACTTATATTTGTTCTGGTCAGTTGTTTTCTTATGGTTTCATTTTCCTGACCAGTGAGATTTTTCCATAGATTGCCTTACCAACTTTCACACTAATTTGTCAATGCTGCTTGCTGGTCAGTCGAGGTCTAATTGTTGTTTTGTACAATTCAAAGACATAGCTGTGTTAATCTGGAATATTAGTATGCAAAGGGGTCTTGTAGTACCTTAGAGACTGAGATAATGAAGTTGGTGGCATAAATCTACTTCCTCAGATGTTGTATTGTAGTTCTTCACATCCAAATGGAAAGGACAGGATTGTATTTACCTTTCAATATTTTTTAAACTCTAGGAACCACTGGAAAAATCTGGATATTTGTTAAAAATGGGTGGTAAAGTAAAGACATGGAAACGGCGATGGTTTGTTCTCAAAGGAGGGGAATTGCTTTACTACAAATCTCCGGTAAGCAAGTGCAGTTTTTATATTGTATTATAGCACCAACACTTAAGACCATCTCTTTAAAAGTGGGCCAAAAGTGCCTGAAAATGCTGCAGAATGATCAATAACATTCAGAGGCTTAGGACACTCTTGGCTGTTTTAGGATAAAATTGGTCTTTTTTATTTTAAAAAATGGATTGGGGGGAATGAGAACATTGTTATTACCATATTGATAGTTACTTCATTAATTTAAGAACATGCATTTATTATGTTTAATTTGGCTTGCTATCTGGCTTTGAACTTGACTGTAAGTTTCTATATGCTCTTTTAGGGCAGTGATGGCGAACCTTTTAGAGATTGAGTGCCCAAACCAGAGAGGTTTGGGCACTTGGGGAAAGGGGGAAGCAAACAGGAGGTGGAGCGAGTGAGCAGGGGGCTGGATGGCAAGCAAGAGGGTGGGTGGGCAGTGCGCGAGTGGGGGGGATGTCAAGTGAGCGGGCTAGTGGGGAGGGGGGCGATGGCACAGGTGCCAGGAGGGAGGGCGCTGCATGCCATAGGTTCGCCAACACTGCTTTAGGGAATCTTTGGAGGAAAACATTATCTCAGTCTCATAGGCACTTTTGATGAGGACCCAGATGAGAGCCTTCTCAGTGGCTGCTTTCAAATTATGGAACCATCGTCTTCATCCTCAGATCTTTGGTTTAAAACCTATGCAATGCACTTGCACAAAATTCCCATTTGGATGCTGATTTGCAAGGTTAAATGTAAACATAAATTTCATAAAGGGGAGAAAAGGACATGCATACCCCCCTCAACCTAATGGAGAAAGGATAAAATGCATTAAATAATTTAAAGTTGTAACTGTGAACTAATAACTTAATCAACTAAATATTTTATAATAGCTAAGTTGTCCAAGGTGCTTCATTAGTTGAATCTGTAGAATGGTCAAAAACCTAACATTTGACGTCAATTCTTGGCTACTTAGAAATCCTATATCTGTAACACTGCTAATGATTTCTGCTGGTGTATGTGAATAAACCATTGTTTCACTTGTTTCCCTATAGAGTGATGTAATAAGAAAACCCCAAGGACAAATTGAACTAAATGCCTCCAGTCGCATTGTGAGAGGGGATGGAAAACAAACAGTTCAGGTGCTTCCTTAAAGTGATGTATTGGAACTGAGGTGCTTTTTTCTGTTTGTGCCAGGAATACATGGAGGGTGATTTTTTAAAATGTTGTTTTTGTAATTTTCTTTTACTTATTAAGTTATAAAGAAAGAGAGAGAGTAAAGGCAAAATACAGATTTAATTGGGAACACTACATATAAAATATTTACAGTGACGTGATTGGAGGTCTGGAGACCATGCCCTGTGAGGAATGTCTTAAAGAACTGGTATGTTTAGCCTGCAAAAGAGAAGACTGAGAGGAGACGTGATAGCCATGTTTAAACATGTGAGGGGAAATCATAGGGAGGAGGGAGCAAGCTTGTTTTCTACTGCCCTGGAGACTAGGACACAGTGGAACAATTGCTTTGAACTACAAGAAAGGAGATTCCATCCTGAACATTAGGAAGAACTTCCTGATATATGAGCTGTTTAACAGTGGAACTCTCTGCCTCAGAGTGTGGTGAAAGCTCCTTCCTTGGAAACTTTTAAACAGGGGCTGGGTGGCCATCTTTCAAGGATATTTTGTACTTGCATGGCAGGCGGTTAGACTAGATGGCCCATGTGGTCTCTTCCAACTCTTATTATTCTATGATTCTAAGTCTATAGAGTACATACAGTTATGTGGGGCAGTGGATCCCATCCCAAACGTCTTAGACAGCCCTGACCAAGCCATTAACAATAGCCTGTTTCCTGTCAGCTGTAAGTTATTTAAAAGGAGACCTACCTCCCACAAATCCTGAGAAAAACATGTCCCAACCAAATTCCAAAATATTTTCCTTTTTCCAGTAAAGTATATAAACTATCCCTTCATCTAGTAGTTATCCACAGATACTAATCTTGGCATCTCGTTAATATATTTCTAATGGAAATTAAATGTATTTTAAGAATTTACTCTGAAAATTATCCATATATATCAAATTGTTTATTCTATTAGTTACTTGTACGGTTGAGTTAAGTAGTAGCCTTCTCATCAGAACCAGAAATGTAATTAAGAGAATATTACCACAACCAGACCCGTAGCCAGGATTTTGATTGGGGGCGGGCGGGCTGAGAATGTACCCTAGCAAACCTTTGTATCGTTATCCCAATACCCCCATTTAAACATAACAGTTTAAATAATGTACCAGTAAGGCCTTCTTGCGGACCACCCTGAGAATTTCGGGAGAGGCTGAAGCCCCTCAACCCACCCACCCACCCCCCGGGCTACATGCCTGACCACAACGTAATTTTATTTCTTCTGGCACTCCACAGCTGACTACTGAAAAAAGAACATATTACTTGACTGCAGATTCCCCAAACATTTTGGAAGAATGGATCAAAGTACTGCAGAATGTTCTTAAAGTTCAGGCTGCAAGTCCACTTTTTATTCAACCAGATGTCAAACCAACCATGAAAGGCTTGCTTACGAAGGTAAAAATGTTATTCTTCAGAATATTTTTCTGCTTTCTTTCTATATCTCTATGTGTATAATCCTGGCTTGATCCAAAAATGGTGGTAAATGGATGTTATGATTTAGAATTCTCCATTTCAGATGGACTTAGAGAAGCATTAGAAACGATGGCACTTGTAGTCCATTGACATGAAGGAGCAGTGGTTTCCCTTCCCTAACCTAAGATGAGCTCTTATAGGATGCTAGAAATCTTAGAAAGAAGCTGTTTATCCTTTATAATTCTTATTGAGAATGTTGGGTTGTTGTAGGTTTTTTCAGGCTATATGACCATGTTCTAGAGGCATTCTCTCCTGACGTTTCCCTGCATCTATGGCAAGCATCCTCAGAGGTGATTCTCTGTTGAGAATAATTAATTAAACTTGGCATGTTTAATTTTCATATTTTTTTAATGCATAGTTTGGGTAAGTAATCTGGTTTGATTGGTCTGACACAGAACTAGTGTCTTCCTAAACTCACATGCTCCTCCCTCCTCTTCTAATGCAGCTTCAGGGAGTTTGAAAAAGTACGCTTCTGAGATTAACCACATTTGTCATGTTGTCCAAACTCAGGCAATTACCATAAATTTTAACTCTTTTCTGTTGAAAAAAAGACCATTTGATGACAGAATTTATGAAGAAGACTTTGTTTCAAGTAGCCACAATTAACATAAACCATAGTCGAGGTTTGGGATGGCATACTGGATTAGAAGCTTCTAATCTCATGCTCATGTACGAGGACAAGAGGATTGTTGGGGGGGGGGGGGAACAGTGTACGACCCTATGTAGAAACTGATTTTGTTTTTGTGATTCCAAAATGTGGTTCAAAATTGTGCTCAAACACATCAACACACTTATATGTCTCAAGGGTTTGGTACTTAAACATGTGTTTAAGCTTTAAAATATCTTGTATTTTAAAATATTCTCTACTTTAATTAGTTTTTAATCAGTTTTTAATCATTTTCTCGCACATGTAGCCGTCCATTGTCATTGTGACTGTTTTTATTGTAATTTTATATCGTTAATGTATTCATATGTTTTATGTAATTATGATGTTGTTGTTTGTTGCATGTGTTTTTGGTTTTATTTTGCTGTAATTTGTTGATTGGGCTTGGCCTCATGTAAGCTATCCTGAGTCCCCGTTGGGGAGATGGTGGCGGGGTATAAATAAAGATTATTATTATTATTATTATTATTATTATTATTATTATATTAGGGAAACCTTGTTTGTTTGTTTTGTGTCAGGAGCGACTTGAGAAACTGCAAGTCGCTTCTGGTGTGAGAGAATTAGCTGTCTGCAAGGACGTTGCCCAGGGGACGCCTGGATTATTTGATTTGATTTGATTGGTTTCAAGTGAACTCAGGGAGGAATCCAGCAGATTTGACTGAACAAATAATTTGTTGATATCACAGTATAATAAATTGTAGCCTAAATAACTTTCCCTGACTTTGGTGTCTTCTAACAATTAAGGGTGCCTTTGTTCCTATTGGAGTCCCCAGTGATGCAGCAGGTTAAACTGCTGATCTGCTGAACTTGCTGGCCAAAAGGTTGGCAATTCGAATCTGGGAAGTGGGGTGAGCTCCCGCTGTTAGGCCCAGCTTCTGTCAACCTAGCAATTCGAAAACATGCAAATGTGACTAAATCAATAGGTACCACTTTGGCAGGAAGGTAACAGCGCTCCATGCAGTCCTGCCAGCCACATGACCTAGAGACGTCTACGAACAACGCTGGTTCTTTGGCTTAGTAATGGAGATGAACACCACTCCCCAGAGTCAGTCACGACAAGACTTAAAGTCAAGGGGAAACCTTTACCTTTTTGTTCCTATTATGTATTCATCAGCTTTTCCATTCACAGGTGAAACATGGATATTCCAAGAGAGTGTGGTGTATGCTAGTTGGGAAAACTTTGTATTATTTCCGCAGCCAAGAAGACAAGGTATGTCTTTATAAACTCTTGAAGTATGTATTTCTAATAACTTTAAGTTATGTGGTCATAAATGAGCAAAAAGGCTTCTAATATTCATGTATCTTTATGAATTTCCCCAAGATAGTGAGGCAATAACATATATACATTATATCAGCCTTCCACGATCTGTTCCCTTACCATTTCCACTAGCACCAGTGTTATCTGTAGTCAGGGCTGATATATGCTGTTGTTCCAAGCACTGAGAAGTCACCAGGTTGGGGAGAGCCAGTGTCATGTGGTACGTATTTGATTGGAATGGGATTTGGGAGATTTTTGTATATTTTCCATTTCCCATGAAGCATTTTCATTCTTTTGAACCAGTTACTCAGTCTTTTGAACAGACTCCCTTCGGGGAGAGAGGGCGGTCCAATAATAATTATAATAATTATAATAGTTATAATAATTATAATTATACTTATTATTTTTATTTGAAACACAACAAGATGAGTCCGCAGCAGACAAGATCACTCTGCTGGCTGTTGTATTGGATCACACTTCGGACGCTTCCCAAGTTGTTGTTGTTGTTGTTGTTGTTGTTGTTATAAGTAGTAGTAGTAGTATTTTCATTTGGCTTTACGTACATCACAGAGTTATGAGGATCAAATATAAATGAGAAGTACCTTGAGGTCATTAGATGTAAGGAAATATATACAAGTCATAAATAATACTATCAAATATATATATTCAGCATACCCTTTTAAAAAATGCATTGGTCTTTTATGATTAGAGATCAAGCTTGTGGTAGAAGTACATCTGATGTTGGGGAGTGGGCACTTATATCTGTCTCATTCAGTTGTAACATCTGATAAAACAAGATGAGATTTCGCACTAAAATTCCATTGCATTGACTAAAATAGAACAGGAGAAGAGAGTATGATAGCAATCACGTTATATATTTTATTTTATCACCTGTATCACAATTTTGGCGCCATGTGGCTCTTACTACTTAGTTACGTTGTCATTTTTCATTCCTTGAAGCAACCTTGCATTACATTCATTAAATATAGTTCAAATACAATGTCAGAATTTTAGCTGTGGGCAACTGAGACATGTTATTCCGATTCACCTTATGAAAGAGATTAATCGTTGTTGATCCTGTTCCATATGTTAAAATAAGGTAATGATGATCATCCCTGTTTGAAAGTTAATTTAATTTATTTGTTTTGAGAGATGAATTCAGACAGTTTTAATACACATTTTTAATACAGCCAGCTGCCTGAATTAATCCTTCATGCCAAATCATGGTAACTAACTTTCAAAAGTGTTGTCAGCTTTTCTGTGTGTTTCATCTTTGATTTTATTTATTTTTTTACCTCTAGTTTCCTTTGGGCCAGATAAAACTTTGGGAGGCTAAAGTTGAAGAAGTTGACCGGTCCTGTGATTCAGATGAAGATTATGAAGCCAGTGGTCGTAGTTTATTATCAACACATTATACTATTGTCACCCATCCTAAAGAACAAGGCCCCACTTATCTGCTTATAGGATCCAAGCACGAGAAGGTAGGGAGCTCTTGCAACATTAGACAAATGTGATAATTTACTTTCAGTAAACTGAAAGGAAAACTAAATGGTAAAGGGCTTATTGGGATAACTAGTTACAGCGAACTTCCTCTTCCTCTGGCATGGCTACATGGCATTTGAAAATGTGCATTCATAGTTTTGTGGGATGTATGAACTCTGGCAAGCAGCATTAAATACAACAATTTGAAATATATCAGTTTTGAGACATTTTTTTAATGAAGATGACACTTGAAATCAAGCATTTCATTTAAGGTATGGGTAAAAAGGTAAAAAGTGCTTATATTTGTGGGTTAACATGTCATGTGATTTTTCAATTTATATTATTCTGGTGAATTTTAGTTTCTTTTCATGTTAGAATTTGTTTATGCTTTTAAAACTGCCGTACTATCTCATGGTATTTCATATATGTAAGTCTCTACTGGACATAGAGGAAAATGGAGATGCTAAGAGGTTTTTTTGTTTAGAAGTAATTAACTTACAGCTATATGTGTAGGTTTTTTTTTATTAAGATAACTTTTTCCTGTTAATTAATGAAAGTTAGAATGAAATTATCATGTTTTATTTTCAAGGATACTTGGCTCTATCACCTGACAGTTGCTGCTGGGAGCACAAATATAAATGTTGGGACAGAGTTTGAGCAGCTTGTCTGCAAACTGTTAAACATTGAAGGGGACTCTAGTAAGTCAATATATTTTATTGCAATCTACAGCATCCTGTTTATATGAGCATTTGATTGGCAAAACTGAAAATATATTTTCAAGATAATTGGCCCTTATGCTTTTCAACATTATGATCTGACATCTTCAGGAGAGGCCCTTCTCTTGGTCCCATCTCCATCTCAAGCTCGGTCGGTGGCAACGAGAGAGCGAGCCTTCTCAGCGGCTGCCCCTCGACTCTGGAACTCCCTGCCCAGGGAAGCCAGAATGGTCCCCTCCTTGCTGGCCTTCTGGTGGCTGACTAAAACCTTTTTATTTAGGAAGGCTTTTAAAGAAGAAGGGTTTTAAGATCAAGTCAGGGGTGCTGTGGTTTTTAGCTTTAATTATGTTTTTTATAGATTATAACTGATTTTTAAAATACCATTTATATTTAATTCTGTTTTAATGTTTGTATATTTTTAGATTTTAAATTGTATTGAAATGTTCTTAATGTAAGCTGCTTTGAGTCTCCTTGTGGAGAGAAAAAGTGGGATATAAATAAACATAATATTCTGTGTGTGTGTCAGGAGCAATTTGAGAAACTGCAAGTTGCTTCTGATGTGAGGGAATTGGCCGTCCGCAAAGATGTTGCCCAGGGGCACCTGGATGTTTTTTGATGTTTTACCATCCTTGTGGGAGGCTTCTCTCATGTCCCTGCGTGGGGAGTTAGAGCTGACAGAGGAAGCTCATTCGCACCATCCCTGGATTCAAACCTCCAACCTGTTGGTCTTTAGTCCTGCTGGCACAAGGTTTTAACCCATTGCATCACCTGGGGCTCCAATAATAATAATAATGATGATGATTATGATGTCTGACGTGTGATCCAATACAACAGCCAGCAGATTGATCTTGTCTGCTGTGGACTCATCTTGTTGTGTTTCACATAATAATAATAATAATAATAATAATAGAATTCATAATGGTCTTGTGAGATTGGAGAGTGGGTTCAAATGAATTTCAGTCGTGATAAATGTAAGGTATGCCATTTGGGCAGCAAGAATGAAATGAACTTGTATAAGATGACATTTGGCTTGAAGGAACAGTATAAGGTACATATGAAAAGGATCTGGAGATCTTGGATTGTCCACAAGCTGAACATGAAGAATCCACAGTGTGATATGACAGCCAAAAAAGCCAATGCCATTCTTGCCAGTATCAACTGTAATATAGTACCCTGATCAATAGAATCATAGAAGTATTGAATCTCAAAGTAGGAAAGGGATCACAAGGGCTATTTAGTCCAACTCTTGTCATGCAGGAATATACATTCAGCAAAATTTGCAGTTTAACTTTTGGAATTTTGATTATTCACAGATTTAAATAATAGATTATCTTAAAGAATCTCTAAATCCTAAAGGATAACTCCATGGCCAACTTCTGGAGGAAGTTGACCATATAGTTGCACTGGAGGACTGTGATTCCCTAGAGAGGTGCTCTCCCTGGTAAAAAAAAAAAAAGCAACAAAAAGGTTTTAAAAAGTGTGTTTTAAAAAATTCACAGTTTTTCCATTTTTCCATTTTTGCAAGGGGCTATGCCCCCAATCCCAGTTGTATGGCTTTCTTGAAAGATGGTTGGATTCCTCTGTTTAAAGAACTCCAAAGGAGAGCTCACTACTGTCTGAGGCAATGCATTCCAGTGTTCAAGCTATAGACATTCTTTCCAGTAGCCAAAACAAGATGGTCAGAGGTTCGAAAACCATATCACCAAGAAGTGGTATGTTGACTATCTTTAAATATCTGAAGAAATATCAAAGATAGGAAGGTGGTTGTTTTAAAAAGATAGATAGGTTAGTACAAAATCATGCTACGTCTACTGCTTCACATGAATGACTCTTTTTTTTTCCGTCCCCTTCAGCTTCTCAAATCTGGAGACATCCAACTCTCTGTCACAGCAAAGATGGGATTACTTCTCCTCTTACAACTCTCCCCTCAGAGGCCTTGCAAACAGAAGCTATAAAATTATTTAAGGCAAATATTGGTACCTTTTTCTTTGTTTCAAATTACGTGGAATGATGATAGGCCTTGTTTGAAATTATGTAAAGTGCATATTACAGTAGGTAGAGTCTTATCCATGTCTAGTCATAAGTATTTATTATTTATTTATTATTTATTTGCTTTATTTGTATACCGCATTTTTCAGCCTGTATAGGCGACTCCTGGAAGTAAGCTCCTGGAACTCAGTTGACAGTATTCTTAGGTAACTGGTTATAAAATTGTGTATTTGTTCAATAGTGGAAATTAAGGTCTCTCGATTTTTCTATATTTTTGCAACAACAATAATTGTATTAGTTATCTTAGGACTCTGAGTAGAATACAACATAGTTGAAACACAGAAATAAAATATAATACTATTAAAATGCATATATTAACATACATGGAACAAAGATTGTGTGCCACAATACTAATAAAATATATATTTAAAATTCAGTTTAAAATTGACTGGTTAGGTCTCTTGATGTAGATAGGAAGTATAAACATACTAATTTGGTGTTCCCCGTGTTTTTCTAGCTGGTAATAGATGTGTTCAGAGTAAAAATAGCACATTAGTTGAAATTTTCTAGAATTTAAAGTCCAACTCACCTTAAAATTATTGCAGGAGACATTTCCAAAACCTCTTCTGGACTTAAAATGGCTAAGAGTCACCAAAAACAATGAAATTACCTCCATATCACCAGGCCGTGTGCGTATGTGGTAATTTATTGCAAAATACAAAACAAAATTTATTTATTTATTTATTTACAGTATTTATATTCTGCCCTTCTCACCTCAAAGGGAACTCAGGGTGGATCACAATGCACACATACATGGTAAACATTCAATGCCATTTTTAGACATACAAGACAGACAGACAGATAGAAATATTTTGGTATTTCAACTTCGACGCCTGAAGGTTATGCTCAATTCCGGCCACAGGGAGTCCTGTTGCTTCACCCACTATCACGCCAAGTCATTTTGATAGTATTTCCTCCTTGCTCTTTGACCGCCGGCATTTTTATGGTGTCGTAAAATACCTGTCTGTTTTAAGTGGTCCCTAATTTCTATACTCACAGCTCTGCTGTTTTCAAACTGCTTAGGTGGACAGTAGGCTAGGCTTAATAGTTGGGTGCTCAATCAAACTCAGGCTTCGAACTTGCCACCTTCCAGTTGGCAGTAATCTATTGCTGCTAGTAATTAACCAGCCCGACTCCCACTCAAAAACAAACTCTAAAAATCAAGAGCAGAGAATGAGCCCCTCTGAGGGCTACAGAGAACTAATGCAGACATCAGCCTGTGCAATTGTCCATCCTTATTCTGAAGGGCCTCTGTTGATCAAAAGTAGACAAATCTTATTCCAAGAGTAAAAGGATTTAGTCTTAGAAATATAAACATTTAATATATGCGGTATTACCTGTTATGCTTTCCCTCTAAAATAGGATGATTGACATTTAAATTGCAAGGCTCACTTTGAAATGTGTTCTATTTTCAGACTTGCCAGCTGTTTATAAATGCTGCAGTGGACTCTCCTGCCATTGACTACCATGTGTCTTTAGCTCAAAGTGCTTTACAAGTGTGCCTCACACATCCAGAGCTGCAGAATGAAATTTGTTGTCAATTGGTTAAACAGACAAGAAGAAGGCAGCCGCCTAATCAGATAGGACCAATTCAGGTACTATATACTTTCAAGGAAATATCTGTTTCTCAAACATTGTTATTTGTGAAAAATAATAACAAAAACATCATTGCAACTAGAAAAAGAAAACAGGAAAAAAACAAAACAAAAAGGAAGATTTTTGCAGAATGTCTGTTGCTCTCATATTTTGATACTGATGTTATGACAACTTATGTTTCCTGCATACTAGTATAGGCAGTGAGAAACCAGAAGTAGAGAACAAAAATCCTGGACAAAATTAAGTGCCAGAAGAACAAAAAAAAGTGCATAATAACATGGCTTTACCCAAGTATTTTGGCTATGAGATACTCAACTTGCAAAGTGGAAAAGAAAAATTTTAAATGCAAAGGAAATCATTTAGTTCTCCGCATATTCAAGAAACCAAAAAAGGAGGAGATAAATCCTCAAAATGAAGCTCAGAATAATTTGGGTTTTTTTTAATCTTGTGAAGCAGCATGCCCATTGTCTTTTACATGTCATGATTTTCTTCCAAAAGATTGACAGTATTACATTTACTGAATATTAAAATAATGATTTTATATTAATGCATTTGCATTTTAACTTTTTCATCAGACTTGAATTCCTAACTACTTAGTTTCCATTGTGATCACATTCCTGGTTACATTGCAGATTATTTGCTTCTGAAGGAAACTTCAGTCAATGACGCTGCTTTTCTTCATTCTGCAGGCCTGGCAGCTTTTAGCGCTCTGCGTTGGACTCTTTCTTCCACAGCATCCCTTCCTTTGGCTCATCAAACTTCACTTGAAGAAAAATGCAGATTCCAGGTATTTTTATGGTGGATAAGTTCTACATTACTTTCTGTAATTAACTAATAGTGTTTAATTATCTTCAGAAAGCTGTTAAAACAAAAGTTATTATTTATTTATTTATTTATTTACTTCACTTGTATACCGCTCTTCTCAGCCATTTGGCGACTCAGAGCGGTTAACAACCAGTATCAACAATACAGTACAAAATCATTAGTCATTTAAAACAGTAATATCAATTAGTTAACATCAGGACATCAATACAACAATACAGGAAAACAACAATCCATCATGTCTCATCAATAGAATCAGCATCCGATCTCGTTGTCCATTAATCCATATTCCAGTAATCAATCAATTGCACTGCTTAGTTGAAAGCCTGTTTGAAGAGCCAGGTCTTCACTCTCTTCCTGAATGCCAATAAGGAGGGGGCCGATCTAATGTCTGTAGGAAGGGCGTTCCACAGCCGGGGGGCCACTACTGAGAAAACCTTGTCTCTCGTCCCCACCAGGCGTGCTTGTGAAGCTGGCGGGACCGAGAGCAGGGCCTCCCCAGACGATCTTAACATCCTAACTGGTTCAAAGGAGGAGATCCTGAAACTTCTAGATTTGAAACTTCTAGATTTGCCATGTAGAACTATGGGTTCGATAGGGGTTTTTAGTCATACTCATTCTTATTTCTTTCAACCGCTTTCTTCTGAATGTCAACAGACTCTCATCCATTTTTCATAAGGATTCACTCCCTCCAGCTTTCCCATTTTTCCTTTCCTGTCACAATTCGACATAAACAACAAACAAAAGTAAAAACCATGCTGCAAAATATATATTTTTATATCCAGTATAATGCATTCATCTCTAGCCACTGTTGTGGAGTCTGCAATTCAACTCTGATTCCCAACATCATAGATGTGAAGAAACATGCAGAATAGTTATAAAATGAATGTGAAATGTATTATATGTTAAATAACATGTAATGATTCCTGCTTTGCTGAAACATTACATCATTAGATCTTGTTTTATGCTCACAGGACTGAATTTGGAAAATATGCAATTTACTGCCAGCGATGTGTAGAAAGAACCCAGCGGAACGGTGACAGAGAAGCCAGACCATCAAGAATGGAAATTCTTTCCACACTTCTAAGGAATCCCTACCATCATTCATTACCCTTTAGTGTTCCTGTGCATTTCATGAATGGCATATACCAGGTAGGTATTAAGTATAAAACAATGGAGTGTTAAGGAGGGCAAATAAAATCACCCTCTTGATGGATTGTCAGCTTGTCATGGGTGAGAGGGCTTGTGTGAGTCTTGTGCTCCCAGGGGGGTCTCCCAGGGCAGCAAGATCTCCGGAGCTCATTTCAAATCTTTTTTCATTTGTTTGGCTGTAGGTTGTTGGGTTTGATGCTTCTACCACTGTGGAAGAATTTCTGAATACACTTAATCAGGATACAGGAATGAGAAAACCAGCAGAATCAGGTTTTGCTTTGTTTACAGATGATCCCTCGGGCAAAGATGTGGAACACTGTCTCCAAGGAAATATCAAGGTGACCACTCCCTTTAATTAGCTTTTTTACTATAGGCGTGTTTTCTAGAATTGAAATGTTTTCTTTGTTTTTCTATTTTGCAAGGAGAGGCTTGGGGATCATGTAAGGCAATTAAAAGTTAATTAAAGATACAATAAAATTTGAAATAGATGTATATGAAGTATATGTCATGACATTAGTATAAGATTTATGTCAGAATTTGGACATAACTGATTGGTTACCTTTTTTTAAAGATACCTTATGAATTATTGATACATGCTAACAGTGATAGGAGTGTCTTGTGATTTCACATTTTGTTGCCAAATGGAAAGTTCAACCCAATGGACCTCCCGCATAGGAAGACACAGTGATGTTGTCCACACTTTTCGTGTGTTAGGAAAAAATCACAAGGCCTGACCTTCCATTGCACAGGCTACAACAATCTTTCATGCAGAGTATTTATCAAGGGTAACTACATGCTTATGATGTTATATCCCTTCACTAATTTTAGTGAAATTTTCAGGCAAGTGCTCCTAGATTTCCTTTCATAGCCTTATCTATGCCTATCTATATGAATAAAAATGTAATAGGTTGTAGGTTTTTTGGGTTGAAATGGCCATGTTCTAGAGGCATTCTCTCCTGACGTCTTGCCTGCATCTATGGCAAACATCCTCAGAGGTAGTGACTCACAACCTCTGAGGATGCTTGCATAGATGCAGGCGAAACGTCAGGAGAGAATGCTTCTAGAACATGGCCATATAGCCAAAAAACCTGCAACAACCCAGTTGATTCCGGCCATGAAAGCCTTCGACAATACATTCAAAATGTAATGTTTGTTTGTGGGATTAATATAACTTAAAAACCATTGGATGAATTGACACCAAATTTGGACACAATACACCCATCAGGCCAACGAGTGACCATCGCTCACAAAAACACTGCAAAACACAGCAGAGGAGACTAAAAAAGCCAAAACCCCAAAAATACATTACTACGCATGTGCAAAACCACATTTATATATGCAAACACACATGTATACACAAATATATACACACATATACACATATATACACGCACAAAACACATATACACAGACTGGGCCACAGCAACGTGTGGCAGGAGATGGCTAGTTTAATAATAACATCACTGGCTGGCATAAGGTTTATTCCAAAGTCCATTTGTATAGTTTTACATTCTTTCAGTTATTTATAGCAATTAAATCAATTAAAAATGAGTTCACATTTTCTTCTTGCTTATGTTGGAGTAAATGTGTGCTGCCTCATGGTTTTCCTTGTAGATCTGTGACATTATTTCTAGATGGGAACAGGCATCCAAAGAACAGCATTCTGGGAAATGTGAAGGGACAAGGACTGTAAGGCTTACTTACAAGAACAGGTATATAATAATACATTCAATTATAACCAGTGATCAGAACTCTGTACAGCTAATGATAAGAACGAACAGGCAACATGGGAATTAATAATAATTAAGAAGAGAGCAGAGTAGATATAAGGACATCTACAGTGTCTTTCCATCACAATTTAGTAACCTCACATCTGGAGTTAAGGAGAAAGTTAGATTTGATTCCTGACATTTCTCTTTTGAGAAATTAAGCTATGGACTCAGGATAATAATATCAGCATTTCCCACGGCTGTCCCACCTTTCTCATCTCCAGTACATTTGTATAAATAACTGACATTTAGAATGAAGAAAATACAAAATTAAATCTTGTTTAGATTGAATAGTTTATCTAAAAGCATTTATTTCATTTCAATTGGCATAACTTTCCACTGAGAAATCAGTTAAAATAAGAGGGCCAGTTATTAGTTCTGAAAGAGCATATTTTCACATTCTTACTTGAACTGGTATTTTACAAGTATCTTTTAAACGTGTGTTATAATTTTGGTTTTATAGGCTTTATTTTTCAATGCAAATTCGTGGAGAGACAGAAAGAGAAAAGTTGCTATTAATGTATCAAACAAATGATCAAATTGTAAATGGTCTTTTCCCTGTAAACAAAGATCTGGCACTAGAACTGGCAGCACTTCTGGCACAGGTAATTCGTTTTTATGGTTTGCTTTCTTATTTATTTATTTATTTATTTATTTATGTAAAACATTTATATTCCACCCCTCTCACCCCAAAGGGGACTCAGGGCGGAGAACAGCATATATACTGCAAACATTCAATGCTGAGACACAAATTCACATACATTACATAAACATTTATCAAAATATTAAAATACACCATTTAAAACCGTCCTAGTCATCTGCGTAAAATCTAATTGGCCTGGTCATCTTTCCTATTGCCGGTTTATTGCCCTGTCCCAAAAGCTTGGTCAAGACAAGTTTTTACCATCCTTCTAAAGGACAGGAGGGAGGGGGCCGACCCGATCTCACAAGGAAAGGAGTTCCATAGCCGGGAGCAATCACCGAGAAGGCCTTGTCTCTCGTCCCCACCAATCGTGCCTGTGACAATGGTGGGACGGAAAGCAGGGCCTCCCCGGAGGATATTAATCTCCGCGATGGTTCATAGGGGGAGATGCGTTTGTACAGGTAAGTTAAGTGTGTATATTCAGCAACAAGGTTCATATACAGGTGTATCTCAATTCACACATTATTATTATTATGTTTATTTATTCCCCACATTATCTCTCCCAAAAAAAACCTCATTAGATGTATTTCTGTGCATTTCTTCTTCATTAGAAACTTTAGTAACAGATGTAGCCACCTTGAGTTCCTATGAGGAGAAACGTGGGATATAAATAAAGCTTAATAATAATAATAATAATAATAATAATAATAATAATAATAATAATAATAATAATGTAAAGGTGGTCCCAATGGTGATTGGCACACTGGGTGAGTGCCTAAAGACCTTGGCCTGCACTTAAAAACAATCGGCACTGACAAAATTACCATCTGTCAGCTGCAAAAGGCCACCCTACTCGGACCTGCATGTATACATCTGATACATCACACAGTCCTAGACACTTGGGAAGTGTCTGATGTGTGATCAAATACAAAATCCAGCATAGTGATCTTGTTTGCTGTGTACTGATCTTGTTATTTAGCAAATAGTAGTAGTAGTAGTAGTAACAACAACAACAACATAGAAGTAACATGGAAATAATAGAAAACATTGCAGGAAAACAAATTCCATCTAAACATTAGGGAAAACTTTCTGATTTTCTCTAGGTCTCTAATTGCATCTTGAATTCCGATAGCTGATTTAGTGTTTTTAAATTTAGTATTTTTAAATGTGCACAATTAATGTGATTACTGTGTCAAAATGCAAGCTGTTAAATATTAAACAACTCACCAACTCTTAACTTGATTTTAAATATTAATATTTATTGAATAAACATAATATAATAGTAATAATAATAAAACTTTATTTGTACTCCACCACCAACTCCCAAAATAGCACGTAAAGCTGCCATACATAAAATACATAATACACATAATAAAAATACAACAACATGAAAACAATAATAACATTGCATATACCCATAAATTATTATTATTATTATTATTATTATTATTATTATTATTATTATTATTAATAATAATAATAATAATAATAGTGTAGGGTCTTGTCAAAGTTCCCTGGGGAAGGCATTCCAGAGCCAGGGGCCACCACCGAGAAGGCCCTCTCCCGTGTCCCCAACCGCACTAAAGACAGAGGTGGGACAGAGAGAAGGGCCTCCCCGGCAGATTTTAGAGCTCGCACCAGTTCATAGGAGGAGATGCGATCACAAAGATAGGCTGGACCCGAACCGTGTTGGGCTTTATAGGTGATAACCTGCACTTTGAATTGGGACCGTAAATCAACAGCCAGAGGAGCTGCTTCAATAGCAGCATGGTATGTATTTCACTGGTAGAGAATTATTACAAGTTGCCAATACTAATGTTTCAATTTTTTTAAAAAAAAATCAACTTTTCCATATTTTAATTTATTAAAAATTATTTTCTTCGCTCTCCACTAGGTGGAGATTGGTGACTTTGAAAGGCCTTTTTCAACTCCAGCAGGACAAATAACTTCCCCCTCGAAATCAAATCAGACTTTAAAACAAGTTATGGAGAAGTTTTACCCAAAAAGATATAGAGATGGATGTTCAGAAGAACAATTAAGGTATGTTTGATTTACCGGTATTTTACTTTTAAAAACTGAGAACAAATAAATAATGTTTATGTAGAAATTACATTTAGTATTATGATGATTGGATTACTTGCATAGAGAACAGACATGGTGGATTAATATTCTTTCAGTCACTTAATTAACTTTAAAATCTTTCTTGTATGGGTAATACAAAATATTTGAGCATTTCCTGCCAAAATACAAATGTTAGAGAAATACAATGATATATCAGATGGCTTATGGTAGATCTAGAATTTGGGAGAACAGAGACAAAAAAAGAGTGCTAATCTAATGTGGCTTATTTTTATTCCATCTCCTAATTATATTTTATAGGCCATACAAGAAAAAGAGAAGGATATTGACTGATTGATTCTGATACTTATCCCATATTATTATTTATCTGTTTGCATTATTCCATGGCTCTGTTCATTTCTCTTTGCTTCATGTCAATAATAGACAGCTTTGTCAGCGGCTGTCAACAAAATGGATGGCTCTCCGAGGTCACAGTGCTTCAGACTGTGTGCGCATTTATCTGGCTGTTGCTCGAAAATGGCCTTTCTTCGGTGCTAAATTGTTTGCAGCGAAGGTAAGGATTTACCTTCAGGTTTTTCATTTGTTTATTTCAAATAACATATCAAACAGCATCATGCTTACTAGATTAAGTTATAATTAATTGTTATAGAACTATACACTATATAACTCCTTAAAGGTAAAGGTAAGGGCTTCCCCTGACATTAAGTCTAGTCGAGTCCAACTCTGGGGGGTGGTGCTCATTTCCATTTCTAACCCAAGAGCTGGCATTGTCCGTAGATGCCTCCTAGGTCATGTGGCCGGCATGACTGCATAGAGCACCCTTACCTTCCCACCAAAGCAGTACCTATTGATCTATTCAGATTTGCATGTTTTCAAACTACTAGGTTGGCAGAAGCTGGGGCTAACAATGGGAGCTCATCCCCGTCCCGCGGATTCAAACTGCCAGCCTTCCGGTCAGCAAGTTCTACAGCTTAGTGGTTTAACCCACTGCACCACTGCGCCCCAAATATATAACTCCTTACATTATGGCAAATAACTAATTCATTGAATAGTTGTTTATTTCCTATCTAGTTTCATAATGGCAGATAACTTTGCATAATTTCTTTCTAGCCTCTGCCAGTATCAGCTTTGGAGAATACCTTGATATGGTTTGCTGTTTTTGAAGATGGCATACACATCCTTGAGTACACCTCAATGGTAAGAGTATAATATAGATTGCCATGTACAGGAAGAAGTAATATACAGTCTTAAGATTACAGTCTCCCGCTCTCTAGGTAATAATAATAATAATACACTTTATTTATATTCCACTCTATCTCTCCGAGGGGACTCAGAGCAGATTACAGTATATACATATATAGGCAAACATTTAATACCTTTTATATAGTGAACAATGACATACACTATGCAAACAAAGGCAAAGGTTTCCATTTCTAGCATCTAGAGGCAATGCTGAACTCTGGCCATTGGGAGGTGCTCTTGTTCCATTTTCCATACTGAGGAGCCTGTTGTCCATAGACGCTCCTGGTCATGTTTTACCGGCATGGCTGCATGCCCATTTTGCCTTCCCACCAATGCGGTACCTATTGATCTCACATTACATATTTTTGAACTCCTAGGTTGGCAGGGGCTAGGGCTGACAGCCAGGAGCTCACCCCAACCCCTGCCTTTGAACTGCCAAACTTCTGGTCAGCAAGTTGTTCTGTAGCTAGTGGTTTAATCCACTGTGCTCCCTCGGCCGCTCGATGTGCTACCGTGGCCTCTTGAAATGCTGTTAAACTACTACTCCTTGACCACTGAGGCATCATTACCAACTTCGAGGAACAAGAAGGGTTTCATCCTGTTAACTCTCTTGGGCTGAATCCTACTGGTTATTTATTCACAACTTAATTGCTATTAATAGAAGTACCTGAATCATTCTTTTTCAATTGGTAATAATATAGAAACCATGTTCTAATAAAAAGCTGACAAAAAATCCGTTCAATAGCCATGCATATGGAAAGTACAGAAATTGTGGTGAGTTTCTCTTTCTTGCTTTCATGGAACTTCCTTTTCTTCTGTCTTTCAAGAGGTTAATAGCAACATATTTATACAAGAACCTGATGACCTTTGGAGGCTATCAAGATGATTTCATGCTGGTGGTTAATAATGTCCTCACACAAGAAAAGCCAACCAAAAAACTTTTGTTTACTATGCCCAGACCAAAGGTTAGTACATTAGCTTGTTGTTGTTCATTCGTTCAGTTGTCTCCGACTCTTCGTGACCTCATGGACCAGCCCACGCCAGAGTACATTAGCTACAATCTGTTTAATAAGCGTTTCTGTGATCTTGTATATGCACAGGAAACTTGCGCCTAGCTTGAAGGCAATTAGTACTATACAATACAATACTATTATGCAACTTCTCGGAAGCTCCAATTAGTCCAGCGGTCCGTGGCCAGGTTGTTAACTGCAGCCGCTTACAGGGAGTGTACCACTCCTCTGTTGCGCCAGCTCCACTGGCTGCCGATTAGCTTCTGGGCACAATTCAAAGTGCTGGTTTTAACCTTTAAAGCCCTGAACAGTTCTGGCCCAGATTACCTGTCCAAACGTATCTCCTGCTATGAACCATCACGAAGCTTAAGATCATCAGGAGAGGCCCTGCTCTTGATCCCACCACTCGGTTGGTGGGGACGAGAGACAGGGCCTTCTTGGAAGTGGCCCCCCATCTGTGGAACTCTCTCCCTAAGGACATCAGGTTGGCCACCTTCCTCCTGTCCTTTAGAAGACAACTGAAGACCTGGCTCTGGGGCCAGGCGTTCGATTAGAGGCCAGCGGCAATAGGAAAAGGAAATTTGGATTTTGTGATCTGGATTCTCCCGGCTCAGCTTGGTTTTACTGGCACGTTAATCTATTAATTTATTGTTAAATTTTACAGATGATGTTGTATAATGTTTTAAAATGATTTTATTGTGAAGTGTAATTTTTATGGTATTTATGCTGTTAGCATCCTCTGATGCTCATGTGAGGCCGCGCTGAGCCCCCCTTGTGGGGAGAAGGGCGGGATATAATTATATATATGAAATGAAATGAACTGTTCTCTGGGGGAGTTAGTTCCAGTGAAATATATCTAGGATTAGACTGTGCTTGTGTAGGAATTAGTCCTTGTCCATGAACACATGCAGGTGGTTTTAAACATCTCTAATTTCTAGATATCCTGTTTTTGTTTTAGATTCTTGAAATTACTCTGCTGATTGCCAGCTACATTAACAGCTGTCACCTGCAAAAGGGATCTGCCCATCACCTGTCTGCTCCAGCATCACTGTCTCCACAGGCAGGAAGACAAAAAAGTAATATTGGATGTCAACCATTTTTGCTGAAGAATAGGCCAACCAAAGGACCCACTTTGCTATAAAAAGATCAGATACCTGTGAAAATGTATGCTAGTTTATGTATTTTCAAGTGGTTACACTGGGAAGAGGAATAATGCTTTGGAAATAAGAATTTCAACCCACTCTTTTTCTTCTTTTCCTTGTGATCTATGCCAGTGCCCCTAATTTATCCTCCAAATTAAAATATCTCAAGAAGTACATGATTAATGACAAAAAAGTGAATTGTGAAAGCTGTCAGAGTGCACTTGGTGTTTGCGGGTACCGTAGTTATAATCAAATCATTCCACAAAGTATTTCTTTATATTTCTGAAACAGTTTCAAGAAAAGAATGAAGCTTCCAGTTGGTTGGTTAGCATCCATGGTAACTTGTTGAATCTAAATAATATACATCTTGTTTATGACCAGAACCTAACCAAGCGAGCAAAGGAAAAATCAGACTCTGCTTCCTACCAGTTTGCTTCTTTACACATTATTTTACAACATTAATACATGGAAGAGTAATCTCTTCCACCTCCCGCCTCCCAAGTTACTCAGTATTGAAATACCAAATCCTGAGCTTTCAGCCTCTTTTGACACGTAACTGTATTAATGTGAAATGCTTTAATTGAAGTTACACTTAGTGTTTAAGTGCTTAGATAAAATCTTAGATTTTTATGTTCACGTTCTTAGAGAGTACTTCTTCTGCTATCTTTTCCATCAGTCTTCTTGCTTTTTAAATCTAGTCTTTTAGACCTGGGTTTCTTATACCGAGTGTCCCAACCACAAATTGGGGTCCCCTTAGCTCAGTGTTTCTCAAACTGTGCTCCTCCAGCTGTTTTGGACTTCAGATCCCATAATTCCTAACTGCTGGTAAGCTGGTTGGGATTTTTGGGAGCTGAAGTCCAAAACATTTGAAGGAGCAGAGTTTGAAAAACTTAGCTCAATATTGGAGTCCTGCAAAACTTTTCTGAGTGCCACCTAGTGGCTGTTGTAGACATTTGCAGTGCAGTATTTACAATGGACTGCAAAGGATGCTTCATCTGTACTTCATAAAAAGAAAAATCAGCTGTTCAGCAAGTCTTGCAAATGCTGATTTGTTATCAGTAAATGTTTGATTGCTAGACCTGTTTTATATAGCTACATACCCGGGGTCATGTAAAAATTGCTCAGGCCAAAAGAGATCCTGAGTAGGAAAGTTTTAAGAAGCCCTGTTTTAGTCTTAAAATCATCAGGAGGCGGTCTTTTATTTATGTTTGGACCATGTTCAGTTTGTGTATTATAAAAAATGTTTTGTTTTAGCTGATGCCAGGTGTTAACGCTTGTACACACATGAGAGTTAAGACTTGATGCTGCACACACAAAGCAATGGATCGATCATGCATACATAAACTCTCCCTTACATCTGCAGAACTCACCATGGGTTGCAGTGGGAGCTTTTCAGTATTCTCTGCCAGTGGAAGGTCTAACCCAGTGGTTCTCAACCTGTGGATCCCCAGATGTTTTGGCCTCCAACTCCCAGAAATCCTAACAGCTGGTAAACTGGCTGAGATTTCTGGGAGTTGTAGGCCAAAACAGCTGGGGACCCACAGGTTGAGAAACACTGGTCTAACCATTAATTCTACCTGCCTTCTAGAAACATACTTTCCACTGTGGCAGAGCATCACATGTGACAGGAAGCGAAAATCATATTTAAAAATATATCCAATATATCTATGTATTTATATTCAAGATAAATGTCCAGTGTGTTCACAATATTATCCTTGATTTGTTGTTCCTTAAGGTGCTACTAGATTCTGGCATCTTTGAAATATCACTTTAGATAATTTTCACAGAATTTTGCATCCATCATGTTTGCTGCTTGTCTCAATGGAGACTAATTGTGGTACACACTTTTATAGAGTGAAATAATGTGATTTTACTAATGGTACAGATTTAACAATCTTTTAAAAGTGTATCATGCATAACCTCAGTCATACCCTCACCCTGACCCTGTAAAAGAGAACTGCATTGTAATTAGCATATTTCTTTCATTCTAAGGCACACATTTTCCCCATATAAACATCTCAAAAAAATGTGGTTTGTCCTAGAATTGTGGGTGATACCTATCTGTCTGTCTGTCTGTCTATCTATCTATTTATCTTTCTTTTTCTTTTGGTGGTACTAAAATTGGTGTGTGTCTTGCAATCAAAGAAATAAAATATTATGTTTATGACCTATCTTTTGCCAGCCTCAGGACTCAAGGCAGATTACAAAAAACTAAAATAATTACATAGTAAAAAAAAACCAAACAACCTTATCAACAGAATAAGAAACACCTTAAAAGCATTATATTAAAAAGAAACCAAAGTTGTTGTGTGCCTTCAAGTTACTTACTTACTTACTTACTTAGGCGATCCCTCGTTGGACGAGTAAGATGGTCTTCCATTATGGATTTCCTTGTGGGTCCGTATGTGGCTGTGGAGCCCTATTCTTGCTTTGCATCTTCTTCCGCAGTGAGGGCATTGGTTTCCAGGTGGAAGGCGGTCCCGGTCGGGGTTGGCTTGACGCGCCTTCCTCCTGGCACGTTTCTCTCTTTCATCCTCCACTCGTGCCTCCTCAAATTCTGCAGCACTGCTGGTCACAGCTGACCTCCAGCTGGAGCGCTCAAGGGCCAGGGCTTCCCAGTCTCAGTGTCTATGCCAGAAGAGTTTTTAAGTTGGCTTTGAGCCCATCTTTAAATCTCTTTTCCTGTCCTCCAACATTCCGTTTTCCGTTCTTGAGTTCGGAGTAGAGCAACTGCTTTGGGAGACGGTGGTCGGGCATCCGGACAACGTGGCCGGTCCAGCGGAGTTGATGGCGGAGGACCATTGCTTCAATGCTGGTGGTCTTTGCTTCTTCCAGCACACTGACGTTTGTCCGCTTGTCTTCCCAGGAGATTTGCAGGATTTTCCGGAGGCAGCGCTGATGGAAACATTCCAGAAGCTGCATGTGACGTCTGTAGACAGTCCACGTCTCACAGGCATGGACTGTCTGTCTTCAAGTTATTTCCTATTTAAAACATGGGCTTTTCTTGACAAGGTTTGTTCAGAGTGGGGCTTCCATAGCCTTTCTCTGAGATTGAGAGAATGTGACTTGCCGAAGGGCACTCAGTGGGTTTTCATGGCTGATTATTCAAACCCATTTCTCCCAGAGTCCTTGTCCAACACTCGAACCACTATACCACACTGGCTCCCAGTATGGCACACTTCAAATGCCTTTCACCTTAAGCAGGCAGGGTTCAAAGTCTTGTAAAACAGTCTTCATCTGCTAACATAAGGACACCATGGAAGGAATCAATTCCTTATCTAGAAAAGGAGTTCCAGACCTTTGCAAATGTGTACTGGTGCTTCCCTAAACTACAATGCCCAGCATTCCATACCAGTGAGCCATTGCAGTTGAAATGGTGTCAAACCGCATTCATTCTACAGTGTAGATGCACCCCCGTGAGAGTAGTGGAATAGCAAAGTCCTCCTCAGAACATCTCAAAGCCCAAGCAGACTTGTGTGAGAGAACATTATCTTTCATATAAGCAAGATAAGGGACCACAGAAACAGACTTCTGTATCACATGCTAGATAAATGGGATTCACAACAATAGGAGGTATATCCAGACATCCATCCAGATATCTGTCTCTACTTCGTTATTACCATGTACATCAACATCCAATTGCAATTGGTGATGGAGAAGTATTTTTATTTCTACAACAAGAATTTTATTTCTGCAACTAAAAGACTATGAGATCTGCATCAGTGATTGTTACAGGAGAGCTCTTCACGTAAATAATAAATTACATGTGTAATCCATAAATGTTGAATTACTGACAAATAAATATGCTTTGTGTAATAAACGTAATACATGTTTCATGGAAGGAAACCGTTTTTCAAACAAAACTATAGAACATTAATTTATGTATAGAGTATTTGTATTTATTTTGTGGATATTTACCAAAGTTTTGTACATTGTATTTTTATATGACCATTTAACAAATAAACATTGTCAAAGAAACCTGTAGTGTTACTGCTGATTGAAAGACAACAACCTTGAGATACTACTTATTTCACTCTTTTCTATCCTATAGAAACTGTTATCTCTGTGTAAGTTTTCAAATGTAAACATTAAATATATGACAGTGAAAACATCGCAGAAGTATTACACAGTTGAATCAGATATGTCTGCAATCTTCTGGGATAAATCCCACTGATCTCCAGAAGATTGACCTCTGAAAAGGTACATCTATAGAATTGACTGTTAAGGTTACAATAAAAACATATAATTAAAGTAGTTTGCCAATACTTTACCTGCATTGGCTATTTCTGATGGAATCCTGGGATTTGTAGTTTGGTGAAATACATACGAGCATGGGCAAACTTCGGCCCTCCAGGTGTTTTGGACTTCAACTCCTACAATTCCTAACAGTCTACTTTCTTTAACCTCTGCCAAAGAATGCCAATGCGTAACCAAAGTACAAATCCCATGATTCTGTAACATTGAGCCGTGGCAATTAAAGCTGTGTCAAGCTGCATTAAGTGCAGATGTACGCCTAAAGAGGAAGAACAGCATCTTCAGGTTTAAGGGGAATCATCTCTGCAGACCATTTACTCTAGGTAACATTGTAAGTAATAATAATAATTGTGAAACCCAATTTTGTGGGAGAAGAATAATTTCATTATAATTCTGCTTCCCCTCAAAAAAACTGGGACTGACAATTTAAAAATCACCATCATCTTGCTTTTCCCTCAATATTGGGACTGATGGTGAAGAAAATAAAATTTAAAGGATATTCAGCTATGTTTTGGATATTAAATACATACATACATATGTATATAGAGAGATGAATGTTAGATTTATGAATATTGATTTACTGCATTTATATCCCGCTCTTCTCACCCCAAAAGGGACTCAGGGCAGCTCACAATAAAGGCACAATTCTATGCCATGAATACTGTGCTGTCGCACGCTGGGCCTGTGCATAAGACTATAGACAGGACATAAATTCTGTGTGCCCAACAGGACGCCGGAGCTGCCTCAGATTAAAGGCCTTTGGATTTCCTTAAACAGAGTCTTTAGATTGCTCAAAGGTTCAACAAAGTTCTTTATTATTGAAAACAAACAGGTACTTTAAGGCATTCTTAATAGTCTATTGGCCCTCTCTAATCTTGTCCACAGGGAACAGGCACTATCTTCATAAACTGTAATTTAATTAATGGGGAAATCCTTAACCTCTAATCTGGGCAGTCTGTCTTTGCCTCTGTTGGCGTGGAGCCCCTGCACCCGGTACCAACTGCTTCTGGCTTCCGCGAGTGACCCTTACCAAGCAGAGCTTTGTAGACTTCCAGGGGGAAAGAAGGAGTTCAGGTTTCAATGATGGCTGGCTGAAGTGCTGTGGGACCGGATTCCCTCAGCAAAGGAGCTGTAAGGCTGTATGATCCTCGGCCAAGCTGTGGGCTGTATAACCCCGGCCAAGCTGTGGGCTGTATATCTCCCCGGCCAAGCCGTAGAAGACGAAGCTTTCTACAGGAGCTCTTGGTATTATGTCCTGCATGGAAAGCTTCTCTGTGTGGACTGAACCCAAACTGGCTCCTATTCCCTCCAAAATCCAAAAAGGGGGTGCGACCAGGGAACCTAACTATAATTGACAGGTGGCTTGCCCTATGATTGAAGCCAAAAGAAGCCACCTATCTGCAGAGTCCCTGAAACTTACAAACACTTAATGCAAAGCAAACAAAATTGGGGCTCCTGGTACAGTTGTACCTGCACAAATACATATATAGAATAAAACAACATAAACTTTAATATAATTAAAAACATCAAACTTGAAACAATTACTTGTACTTAAAATCACACAAGCCAAAAGCATATCCCAGGAGCCATTCCGTTTGTCACTTGCATTATTCATTATTGCATTGAGATATCATCATTACACTGGGGCTCATTCTCCAAAGACTTGGTCCCACAAACCTGTCTTCACGTTCTTCCTAAAGGTCAGGCGGGAAGGGCTGACCTAATTTCCCTGTTTTCTGTTGGTCATCGGAGTCCAGTGTGCCACGTTTGGTTCAATTCTATCATTGGTGGAGTTCAGAATGCTCTTTGATTGTAGATTAACTATAAATCCCAGCAACTACAACTCCCAGGGAGCCCCCGGTGGCGCAGTGGGTTAAAGCACTGAGCTGCTGAGCTTGTTGATCGAAAGGTCGCAGATTTGATTCCGGGGAGCGGCGTGAGCTTCCGCTGTTACCCTAGCTTCTGCCAACCTAACAGTTCGAAAACATGCAAATGTGAGTAGATCAATAGGTACCGCTCCGGCGGGAAGGTAACGGCGTTCCATGCAGTCATGCCGGCCACATGCCCTTGGAGGTGTCTACGGACAACGCTGGCTCTTCGGCTTAGAAATGGAGATGAGCACCACACCCCAGAGTCAGACATGACTGGACTTAATGTCAGGGGACTACCTTTACCTTTTTTTTACGACTCCCAAATGACAAAATCATTTTTTTTGAGTGATGGTCACTCCTTGGGTTAGTAGGCGTCTTGTGAATAAAATGATATATGTATACAAACACAACTTGTTTGGATGATTTCACAGGGTGGGGGGAGAAGGAGCTCCCTCCCTTGAAAGCAGCCCAAGCGTCCTGCTGAGCAAAGAAACTACGACTCCCATGATGCTCCGCTCGCCGCGCAAGTCGTTCCCATGGCAACCGGGAGCGGAGTGAGGCCTAAGGACCGAGGCGAGGCCTGAGAAGCGATGCCCGGGGCCAGGTAAAAGGAGGCGACTTCTCCCCACGACACAGGTGTTAAGTGTTTATCCCAGGCATGGGCCAACTTGGGCCCTCGAGGTGTTTTGGACTTCAACTCCCACCATTCCTAACAGCCTCAGGCCCTTTCCTTTTCCCCCTCAGCCGCTTAAGCGGCTGAGGGGGAAAAGGAAGGGGCCTGAGGCTGTTAGGAATGGTGGGAGTTGAAGTCCAAAACACCTCGAGGGCCCAAGTTGGCCCATGCCTGGTTTATCCCTTTCCGTGGCGAAAGGAAATGTGTTCTGTTGTGTGAAAAGGAGTTGTTGTTGTTGTCTTTTGCATACACATTCACTCACACCAACGCTTGCCCTTCCTTCAGCGTGTTCCTTCTTTAAGGCTTTCCTTCTGCTTTTGTGCAGCAAGGAGGATGTTGGCAACGCGGAAATGTGGCTGTCACAAACTAGGATGAATGGTGTTGAAGGCTTTCGTGGCCAGAATTACTGGGGGGTCTTCCATACAGCCCTATATCCCAGAATATCAAGGCAGAGAATCCCACAATATCTGCTTTGAACTGGGTTATCTGAGTCCACACTCAGATAATGTGGGATTTTCTGCCTTGATTTTCTGGGACATAGGGATGTGTGGAAGGCCCTGGGTTGCAGTGAGTTTTCCAGGCTATATGGCCATGCTCCAGAAGCATTATATCCTGACGTTTCGCCCACATTCTCCCCCACAAACAATCTGCTCCATCCCAATCTTATCCTGATTTTAGTATTTTTAGTATCTGTTCCAGTGTGCCTTTCCAGAATAGGAAACTCCTGGTATCAAGTCCCAAATGCACTTTGATAGAGATTCAGGATTATCTGCACATTGCACCTACCTCCAAATGCCTCTACATATTACCTGTCAAGTTCAGCACTTTTAAATTTTGTCTATCACATTTGGCCCAGCCATTAGGTTTTAATTGCGTTCACGGTGTCATCGTTTTACTGTTTTATTGTTTTGCTTGATGTTTATTATTTGCTTATAAGTTTTATTGTGTATTGTATGTTGTTGTTGTCAGCGGCCTTGGCCTTTGTAAGCCGCATCGAGTCTTTTGGGAGATTTTGCGGGGTATAAATAAAGTTAGTAATAATAATAATAATAATAATAATAATATCTTAGTATTTATCTTGGACATGCTACCCATTGTTATGTTATGTTATGTTATGTTATTTTACTGTGTATGATTTTGCTTTATCGTCTTTGTGCTCATATGTTGTATGTATTTTACTGTGTTGTTATTGTGTTTTGGTTTCACTTTATTGTAATATGCTGTTGGGCTTGGCCTCATGTAAGCAATTGAGTCCCCATTGGGGAGATAGTGGCAGAATATTAAATAAAGTTTATTATTATTTATCTATGGGAAGGATCCTCAGAGGTTGTAAGGTCTGTTGGAACTAGGCAAGTGGGGTTATATGTATATGAATATGACCTAAAGAGATAGATGAATATTATAATAGAATAAAACTACAATATTATGAGAATAAAATGCAATATATATATACAACACACACACACACTGTATATATACTGTATTATTATTATTATTATTATTATTATTATTATTATTATTGAACTTTATTTATACCCCGCTACCATCTCCCCAAGGGACTCGGTGCGGCTTACATGAGGCCGAGCACACACACATAAACAAACACACACACACACACTAAACTTGTGGGTATGATTTCACAGATTGGGGGGGGGGGGAGGGAGAGAAGTCTATGCCAGGAGCTCCCTCCCTTGAAAGCAGCCCAGGCTTCCTGCTGGTGGGAGAAAGAACTCTTGTCTGTTTGAGGCAAGTGTGAATGTTGCAATTGGCCACCTTGATTAGCATTTAATGGCCTTGAAGCTTCGAAGCCTGGCTACTTCCTGTCTGGAGGAATCCTTTGTTGGGAGGTGTTAGCTGACTCGGATTTTTTCCTATCTTGACTTCCCCTGATTTTTGAGTGTTGCTCTTTGTAGGGCTTGTTCTCCAGATGCTTGATCATTTCAGGACCTTTCCACGCCGCCCTATGTCCCAGAATGTCAGGGCAGAAAATCCCAAAATATCTGTTTTGAACTGAGTTATCTGTGTCCACGCTGCCATACATTCCAGTTCAAAGCAGAAAATGTGGGGTTTTATTCAGCTCTGTGGAAGACGCTTCAGTCGCCCTCTTCTGGATACATTCCAGCTTGTCAACATCTCCCTTCAATTGCAGTTCCCAGAATGGGACACTGTTGAGACTCAGCATTCTGGCACCATACCTACTACTACTACGACAGACACAGTATTCCAAGTGTGGCCTGACCAAGGCAGAGTAGAGGGGTAGCATGACTTTCCTGGATATAGACAGTAGACTTCTATTTATCCCATTGGCTTTTTAAGCCACCTCATCACATTGTTGGCTCACGAGGACTCCATGATCTTTTTCACTCGTATTTCTGTCAAGCCAGGCATCCCTCCTTCTGTATCTTTACATTTAATTTTTTTCTGCCTAAGTAGTGTATCTTGCATTTATCCCTGTTGAACCTACACGCATTCAGTTGAATATTACTTGGACTCCAAAATGATTCTCAATCATGAGAGTCCTATGAATGTACTTCTGTTTATTCAAAGACTCTAGACAGACAGTTAAGCGGATGGCTTCTTCCTCTGGATTCACTCAACATGGTAATGTTATGAGATCAGGGTGTAAAAGTGTATGTACTCCTAGTCTTTTCTAAATACCCTTATTTGGAATTCAGTATGATTTCCTTCTACTTAATTATGCATACCACTGGAACTGCAATTGTGCAGATCAACTCTGTATGAGTTTTTAAATTTAAAGCGGTATTAAAAGCTTCTGACCACTCCACAACTGGATGGATTTTTAATTTGTATTTGTGATTTGAATAAGGGCTATTGGCTTGTCTGCCTATGGACCCAAAGTGGAAAAGGAAGTGTTTAAATCAATCTGCAAAATACTTTGTTTTAGTGGTCATCAGTTTGCATAAGTTTAATGTAGTGACTTGGGATTTGGATCCCTTGAAGACCACCCACCGTTGAAAGCTGTCAGGTTAGCTGTTCAAATTACTCTATATACCAGTCCTTCTCAACCTGGGGTCCCCAGATGTTTTTGGCCTACAACTCCCAGAAATCCTAACAGCCGATAAACTGGCTGAGATTTCTGGGAGTTGTAGGCCAAAAACATCTGGGGACCCCAGGTTGAGAACCACTGCTATATACTCATGTATCAGTCTAGAAATTTTTGTGAAAAAATCAGCCCAAACACCCAGGGTTGATTTATTCACAGGTCAATGTAAGTACTGTAACTTAGCTCTTCTCAAAATAGAACCATCCACTTCTCTGATTAGGGTGGGGAAAGACACGAGCTTTGTCCATCCCAAGATAACCTAAAAGAAGCATCATTCTATCCCACTCATTCTGCCAGATTCGCTCCCAGATGGTTTCTGCTACCAGCCTCCAGGCCACTGCAGAGGCAGGAGGGAATCTGTACAGTCAGTCCCTGCACCACTGTGGAGGAGGAAAGGAGACTTGATTCTCCAGTGGTGCCAGATAGCCATCCTTACCATCCTCTCCTGTTCTCATCATGATTAGCGTCAATTGCTTGTCGTCTGGAGTGATGTCGGCCAGGGCAACAGAGTGATGCAGGAGAGGGAAGAGAAGGAATTGCTCCCTCTTTTCCTCGCAACCATCTATGATCACCTTGTGCTTCAGATAATGAGCACTGGATAATTACCATGTTGGGCCAGGTGGCCATCACTATAATAAGGATAGAAGAGGGATAGTGAATGCCATCCCAGATAATCCAAACCCAGGGAATACAGGATGGCCATGAAAACAGATGCAGCCGATTCAGTCTCAGAACCTAACCATGTGCTTACAAGAGCCTGTCACAACCTTGATCGCTGGCAGAAGCGGGTTGGAAGTGTCAGCTCCTTTTCACGCAGATCACCCACTAAACAAATCTCTTTTGCCTACTCTAACTGGTGGCTGTTTCCATCTAGCCTGGAGACTTCAAAAACATGCGTCCTTTTGTGAAATTGTAGGTACTGCTAATTAATGTGTTGTCCACATGCATATTTTTGTTTCACGTTCTTCATGACATGTGAAGAAACTCCAACGGGTTTATGACTGGGAGCATGTCACAAGGTATTAGTATATTTGAAGCTAATGAGTATATTTGAATGGCATATTTTTCTTTTGTTTTCTCTGCCAGTGACACCATATGGGATATTGCGAAAGCCGAAGTTGAGAAAAGAGAAAGCCATGAAGGCGATAGAGATGGCCTGGAATGTTGGGAAAGATCCTTATTCTTTTTAGGAAATAAAAATGGGGTAATAATTAATGTTCCATTTTATATTGTTGTTGATTTACATTATATATACCGTCGTTTGCTTATATGGGCATTTGAAATTCAGTTGTACCAAAAAGAAATGCCTAGAATAAGATACTTGCCCTTTGTAGGTATAATATTCATAGTATTGTTTAAAAAAACCAAACCTTAAATCAGGCATGCTCTAGCTTCAGTGATTTTCTAGTGTGTAATTTAATTTTTCAAAGTTCACCAGACAAAAATAGACGTCTTCTGTTTAAATGACTAGTTGACAGGAACTGACATACTTAACTATACTTCAGTCTGAGTAGATATTTTCAGCTTATTAAACTAATTGACATTCTACTTCTGGACATGTTATGTTGATGCCGGCATCGAATTGTGCCTTTGTAAGCCGCTCTGAGTCCCCCTCTGGGGTGAGAAGGGCGGGGTAGAAGTAACCAAAATAAATAAATAAATATCTTCTTGTAAGGAAATACCACTGATTTCAAAAGAACTTTAGTACATCCAGGATCAGGGTAAACAGCTTGGAAAAGTTACTTTTTTTGTTATATCTGCTTGAACAACACCCAGTGCTATGAGATTCCAGAACAATAACTTTTCCAAGTTCTAACAAAAAAATAAGTAGCAGCCTATTAAAATATAGCAGGCTAAGGTTTCAGCATTTATTCAGTTTTGTCTCTGTAGAAAGAACAATTTTTCATAATAAACTGAATTTTTATGACATGAAGTTATTAAATTGTATATTCTGTTTATGTATATTCCATGCATTCTTTTTATTTCCATCTCATTAAAGCAGTTCCACTAGAAGCAAATTATTTGATCAACCTGTTATTTGCAATTACCAGTGACTTCCCAGCTATATACACTTGGCTAGATTGATTGCTGCTGTGATGCCTATTTAAGAGTCCGATTGCTAAATTTGTCATTTCCAGTATTTTCTTATAATAATAATAATAGCAGTGTAACTAAATTCTGATAGAAAGTTGGCAGCTAACTTTCTATTAATCAGATGACATATAATTGCCCAAGTTTGTAATTTTCAGATATTTTATTGAGGATGATTAAAAGAATGCATTACAGCATATGGAATGATACAGTATTTATGCTTTAATGACATTACATTAGTGTTCTTTGTTGATTTTAATTTCTAGGGAAAGACTACTATTATACTGAGGTGCCTTGACAGGTATGCGTTTCGGTTTCGGAATTTTTCTTTTTCATATTTTAAGGGTATTCAAAGTCTAGATTTTGTCAACAGTGAACTCTGTAGGAATGTAACATAACATGACAAAGTGCCTTGATATATGAAAATATGTTCCTCAAAACATAAAATGATGTTGTCTATATGATCATTTTTGTATGTCCATTAAGGCCTGTCACTGTGTCCTGCCAAGACGGAAGCTCCAAGGCTGTGATCCAGAGCTTCTCCATCACTATGGCATGTTAGTTAGGGCCTACAGAATCTTAAATAGTTTTAGGTATTTACACTTTCACACTTCTAGCACCAACACAGAATGGTGATCTACTTTGCCAACTGCCTCGGACCCTATGTTTTCTCATTAGTCTGCTGCATCAAAAACATTCCTCATAATAATGATGATGATTATGATGGTATCACTAAACTTTCTTTATATACCATCCTATCTCCCCCAAGGGACTCAGGGCGGTGAACAACAAAGTCAGCAATCATTCAATGTTGTACAAAAGAAAAACACATAAACAAATAACCATCCCACCCAAAACCCATACAGATCGATATTTATGCCAGAAATAAAACTAAAAAATAACATGTAACATGATACTTCAGTGGTTAACAAATATATAATGGCATGCATTTTTATGGTCTGGAGTGTATTTTCATTCACATCACTTCATCATAAGACAGGTTCTCACCTTCATTACTTCATAGATCCTTTTTCTCTGTTTGTTATCATCATGGTTCTAAAATGACCTCTAAACAGGGGAAGCAGTCATAGTAGTTAAATGTTGTATTCTTGAAATCTTTTGGATTATTGCAAGACATTAGTATTTATTTATTGTGTCAGAAGCAAATTGAGAATGGAGATATAATGTATTTAAAAACCACAAAGTAAGTTAAAAACTTGGCATTATACTAAATTTCCTTTGATCAGAAGCTGGCCACTTGGAGTGCCTCTGGTGTCACTGTAAGAAGGTCCTCCATTGTGCATGTGGCGGGGCTCAGAATGCATTGTAGTAAATGGTCTGTAGCTTGCTCCTCTTCACACATGCATGGCATGGACTCCGCTTTGTAGCCCCATTTCTTAAGGTTGGCTCTGCATCTCATGGTACCAGAGCACAGTCTGTCCAGAGCCTTCCAAGTCGCCCAATCTTCTGTGTGCCCAGGGGTAAGTTTCTCATCCGGTATCAGCCACTGATTGAGATTCTGGGTTTTAACCTGCCACTTTTGGACCTCCGCTTGCTGAGATGTTCCTGCGAGTATCTCTGTAGATATTAGAAAGCTATAAATTTAAGACGGTGGCATGCTGGCTGATATCCAAATAGAGGATGAGCTGGAGATGTCACTGCCTTGGTACTTTCACTATTGGCTGCTACTTCCCGGAGGATGTCAGGTGGTGCAATACCGGCTAAGCAGTGTAATTTCTCCAGTGGTGTAGGGCGCAGACACCCCGTGATAATGCGGCATGTCTCATTAAGAGCCACATCCGCTGTTTTAATGTGGTGGGATGTATTCCACACTGGGCCTGCGTATTCAGCAGCAGATTAGCAAAACGCCAGGACAGATGTCTTCACTGTATCTGGTTGTGATCTCCAGGTTGTGCCAGTCAGCTTTGGTATTATGTTATTTCTACCACCTACTTTTTGCTTGATAGTCAAGAAGTGGTTCTTTTAAGTCAGAGCACAGTCCAGGTTTTTTGATGTGCTGCAGTGCTCCAGTGGGATTCCTTCCCAGGTAATCCTCGAAGCTTAAGGTGCTTGTCTGTTCTTAAGACGAAAAACACACTCTTGTGTTTTAGATGGATTAGGAATCAGCTGATTTTCTCTGTAGTAGACAAGACATCAGTGTCTGGAGGTAACTTAGTAAGAAATGGTATATTTCCTATGGGACAGAATTTTTAATGGGTATTAGAACATAATTTATAGCCTTGATACTCTGGCAATAGGAATGGCTGGTTTAAAACAGCATTACATACTGGTATTTTAAATTGTCTATTTATTTATGTTTTACAGTATTGTGCTAGGTTGTTTTATTAATTGATGTGTGATTATTGTTCATGTTATATTATTTATTGTATTCATTTGTTTTGTTGTAAGCCACTCTAAGTCCCTTCGGGGAGTGGGGGCAGGATATAAAGAAAGCATCTTGTTGTTGCTGTTGTTGTTATTGTGACATTCTATATTTTAGTAAGTTTGTGTGTGTTTTAAATGTAAAGTACTGGTAATTAACTACATCATTTCAGTATAAACCTGCACATGGCTGCCCAAAGTAAGCCTCATGATTTCTTTGAGACATACTTGCTGGAGAATATGTAATTAACATGCTTTTCAAGTGTAGCCAAAGAAAAAAAATGGAAACTGAAATAATAAAATTATTGTCTTCTCTTTTAAATATATGGACATGACAATAAAATGTATCCAAATTGATTTAAATTCTGAAGTCTTATATTCAAGAAGAAATATATTTATCTCTATTTGATACACATATTCCTACTCTTTAAATATCTAGAGAAAACACCTGGCCACCCATGAATTCAAATGGCTAACTTTTATGTTGGATTAGATCTCTGTTTTGACTTTCAAAGTTCTAGTTTGTATGGCTCAGTTCTCAGAAATACGAAGTTCAATGAGTCTCCCTTTTAATTTTGCACTTCTCTGTAAAGTTGTTTTAATGACCTTTCATCAGAAAGAGTTCACAGCTTTGTCCCCCCATTACTTTCTACATGTTTTAAGGAAATTAGAGGAATAATAGGGCAAAAGGAATGTTATTTGAATAGAAACTGACAGACAGGGGTTGTCTTAATTTTTTAGGGATGAAATTCCAAAACCAACACTAGCTCTGGAATATACTTTTGGAAGAAGAGCAAAAGGGCACAATACAGTAAGTACATAGTCAATCTGTTCCTTATGGATCATTGAGGTTAGAATCAGTGTGTGATAGAGAGTGGGGATCAAGCTATCAGAGATATTATGAGAACTACTAAGTAAGTGTAGATGTTCATACAACCACATTCCATACTGCCATTTGTGATTACCTTAATAATAGCTGTAGAATGACTGTATATCACACCATACTGTTAGCACTATATTCCACTTTAACTATGAGATTTACAGTTTAGCGAGGGGCATTTAGAATTCTCATCCAGAGAGTTCTTGGATCTCATTAAACTACAAATCCCAGAATCCCACAATACATTGTCACTAAGTTAAAGTGGAATATAGTGCTACAACTGTATAACGGGATAAGAATATTAACATTTTTAAACTGGCATATATTGCAGCTTGAGTTGTGGGTAATAGTATTGCACATTTGTTGTGAAATAAATTGATCTGAGCATAATGTTATGCTCTTTGTCATCCAAGGGATAAAAATAGCATGATTTCCTTTCATCCTCAATACTTCTCAGGAAAAACCTTCAACAACCCAGCTTCTCAGGACAGAGTTTCCATTAAAAGGGTTCTCTCAAGTTTGCTCACAGTGGCTAGCAGGCAACTTCTCATTCAAGTTGCCAAATCCCTCATCTCTTACCTTGTGTAATTTCTGGATACCGCAAAAGAGTAGCCCATGGTCATGTGGTTTGCATACCTTATGCCAGTTCCAGAGGTAGAAGTGAAAAGTTCTGCTTCAAATGTACGGTAATAAAAATCCTTGCAACAACAAAGTTATAGTGGCATAAGCTGCTGTGGACTGTGGTCCATTTTACCAGATAGATTCATGTTCTCCAGGTTTTGGTTACCAAAGCTCATGCTTGTCATCATGTTTGGTAATCCATGAACCTTTGTATGGTGTGCTGTGTAATTTCGAAGCTATCTAGAAAAATTATAGGAAGATTGAAATTGCTGTATTGTCGAAGTCTTTCATGGCCGAAATCACTGGGTTGCTGTGAATTTTCTGGGCTGTAGTTCCCTTGACTCTGGAACTCACTTCCTAAGGACATCAGGGAGGCCCAACTCTGGCAGTCTTTAGGAGGACCTTGAAGACGTGGTTGTTCCAGTGTGCCTTCCCAGAATAATGATTCCATAGCATCTTGTCCTCCAAAGCACTTTACATTTTTTAGGTCTGCTTGTATGTTTTCCACAAACACCCCATCACCTTTTCGCCCATGTTCCAGCATTACTTCCAATTTAAATTTTACATTTGGCCTTCCCACAGTTTTAATCGTGTGGTTTTATTGTTAAYGTTGCATTATTTTATTGTCCATGTTTTTATTTTAATTGCTTGTATTGTTGTTATTATTGCTTGTATTGTTGTATTTGGGCTCATGTAAGCYGCACCGAGTCTCTTGGGGAGATGGTAGCAGGGTRCAAATAAATTATTATTATTATTATTATTATTATTATTATTATTATTATTATTATTATTATTATGTTCCAGAAGGTTGTGAGGTTTGTTGGACACTAGACGAGTGAGATTTATATATCTGTGGAATGTTCAGGGTGGGAGAAATTACTCTTGTCTGCTTGATCAAGTGTGAATGTTGCAGTTGGCCACCTTGATTAGCACCAAATGGCCTTGCAGCTTCAAAAACTGGCTGATTCCTGCCTGGGGGATTTCTTTGTTAGCTGGCTTCCCCCAGGCAAGAATCAGCCAGTCTTTGAAGCTGTAAGGCCATTCGRTGCTAATCAAGGTGGCCAATTGCAACTCTATTGAAATTGCTGTTGGCAATGTATCAGAATGTTGTACAAATTAGTGATGTGAAGAATCTTTTTTTCAGCCAAAAGATATTGCTAATTTTTGGGAACTAGGCGGTGGAACTTCATTGTTGGACCTAATTCCTATTCCAATAACCACAGCTAACATAAGGTAAAAAATGGAAGAACCTCATTTCAAAATCTTCACAATCATAGCCACAATGAGAAGTAAATTACAATAGTATTAGGTTTTACATTTTCATTTGTCAGTCTCCCAGGCAATGAATTGCATTGAAAGTTGTTGTCTCAATACTTTTTCCCTATATATGATACCTGTGATTGAGTAACAGTAATGTACACAGTAAAAGTGGTACTAGACATGTTCAGGGCTGCATTGCTATTTGCTTGTTAAATTTAATAGACTTTGCTATCCATAGAGTATAGATGAATTATAGAAAGTGTCTATGAAGAAAATACTTACCTCAGACAGAAATGCAATTTATGGAATGAAAAATAGCCAGATTCCCAAAATAGCCTTTAAACTGTTGATGTTGAGGTAGAAATAACTACCCACAGGAGATACATTTAAGATTGCTGTTGTGTGAGGAGACAAGCTGCTCCTAGCTCTTTTCTCAGTAGTGGTGTGTTTTACTGCTAACATACATCTCTTTCTCCAGATATCCCAACATTTTCACTTTCCAGCCACAGTTTAAACTTTGGGAGGTAGATTTGAGAAATGTAAGCCACAGAGCATGATCAGTTAAGGTTCACATGTGAAGTGAAGATAGTTTTCATGTGGAGGAGCAGATAGATTATATGCCAATCAAACACCGCATTTGTTCTGTGATGCACTTTTCTGCAAACTAGGGCCCTTCCTTTCCTTGTCTTGTCCAAATACTAAAGGGCTGATTCAAACAACTCACATGGTAAAAGTGTCACCTGAAATACTAGTTTTGTTTGAATTTTTGACACTAGTTACTGCATTGCCAGAGCAAGGAAAGCTACACGGAGGCTCTGGAGAAATTCACCAGTTCCTTGCAATGCACCAAACCATTGTTTAGTACTCTGGGAATGAGGAAAATGTCTACACAATCCACCTCACATTCTTTGGTATGATCATAAGGGAGGGAAGAAAAGCATCTACTGTATTTCTTCAATTCTAAGATATACTTTTTTCTTATATAAACAACTCTAAAAATGGGGTATCTTAGAATCCCAGGTAAATTTTACGTATTTTAGTTGGTGGTGGGACTGAAATTAGGATGCATCTTACAATTGATGGTGTCTTACAATTGAAGAAATATGGCATTTCCTTTTCTAGGATAACCAAGGTTTACAGTTATACCCAACTATTTATTTATTTATTTACAGCATTTATATGCCGCCTTTCTCACCCTAAAGGGGACTCAGAGCGGCTTACAATATATATTTTCATACAATATATTATATTATTAGCATAGTACAGTATCAGTATTATATATTACTATATTGCACTATACCATTATATTGTAATATTATTAGTAATATTACATGTAATGTAAATTTATAATTATAATATTGTATTATTATTACTAATATTATATTACATTATAATACTATAAATATTATATGCATATACAATATACTATATTATATTATTAGTAAAGACAAGATGGAAATGTCTTCTGCTCCCCACTGTCTTCGCTCTGGCCAGAGCAGCCGTTGGTGCCACAGGGGGGAGGGGCCTCCCAACTGATGATATAGGCTGAAGACAAGATGGAAGTGTCTTCTGCTCCCCTCTGTCTTCGCTCTGGCCAGAACAGCAGTTGGTGCCACGGGGGGCGGGGGGACTCTGGTTAATGTAAACAGTGTCTCGTAGTAAGGAACCAATATTAACAGATCAGGATTATAGCTCATTAATTTCTCCAGTATTGCTACATCAGCTGCTCCAAGAACATTAGTTGAGCTTGCAGTGGCCAGGTTTATTAGTCCACCTAAGAAGACAGCATGATAGAGCTCAGCAGAAGTCAAGGCATTTTAAAGACAAATATTCATTACTACTATATTTAAAATAATCTGTGGTCATAGTTAGAGTTGTTTTGAAAATATATGTGTATACTTCCAGCAACACAAAATATGGAATGTATATAGAATACTATTTAGAACTATTAAGATGTCCTTTCATTTCTTTCTAGAACATTTGCAATAGTTCTTGTCTTGGACCTTTCAAAACCGAACAAACTCTGGCCAACCATGGAGAGCCTCCTGCAAGTCACTAGGAAGCATGTGGACAGAGTTATAACAAAACTGGGACAAACTAATCCTAAAGCAGCTACTGAAATAAAGCAGAAAATGTGGAATAACTTGCCAAAGGATCATCCAGTGAGAACTAGTATTTTCTCCAAATGTCACAGGCTCATACACAGTTAAAAATAATGGTCTGAAAATTATAAACAGTTCCTTTAGATTTTTATGCATGACTGAAAATCCATTTGATGTACAAGAACTTGTTCAGTGGAAAATTATAGCAATTTAATGAAAATTCAGTAGAAGCAGAAACAAGGAAGGAAGGTTTCTTATATATATTCTTGTTAGACATCTAATGCGATTGTTATGGCATGTTACAACAATCAAAAGAAACAGTTTTATAGAAGCAGTTTGATATTGATTTTATAATCTACTTGTAAAATGAAGGTGAAAACTAGAATGTACAGAAGTTATCTGGTGAAGCAACTCTGTAAAGCTACAGATAGAAAGAAAGGGTGTCGTTACAACAGCCTTCAGCACAACTCTATACTTTGCATTTATTCAAGTGTCTATCACAAATGCAGTGCCTTTTGATAACATGACAACTAATTAAATTATAAAATTTCAGGGATGTTAATATCAGCCCTTGAAATTCAATTGCTAATGTTCTCTCTTGAAGAAAGTAAAATAGATTGCCAAAGATATTATTAAAATGGTGCCTGGCATCATGCATTCATCTTGTACAAATGTTGTGCATATGCAGTGTCTAAACAATGTATATATATTCTATAGTGCACAATCCAAAGACTTAACATAGTCTTTTAAAGTAGGTACTTTAAAAGGTGTTAATAGGAGCAAAAAACTAAAATGAAAAGAAAAATTGGGTATATAAATTAGTTTTCATTCAACTCTGAAGGCTACTTTACTTTGTATTAGGTGAAAAGTGTCAACTGTTGACATCCATCTTTCTCCTCTTTTAAGAATGAAAAGTTGCATTTTTTTGGATTCCACCACAATTCTAGGAATTTTTCTCTTTGTTTTGTGTGTGTGTGATTGTGATGTGAGAAGATTGAAGCTTAGATGGGAAGAAATAATTTCCCACCCTTGGCAACCTGCTCAGTTTCTGTAGAAAATCACAGTGTCTTATAGCAAGCAACTCGGTTGTGCTTATCTGGCAAAATAACAAGAGGCAGATTTCCTAATAATCTCTGCTGATTTCAGTCTGCAGGGACTTACCCTCTACATTTATATTTCATGCACAAAAGAAGCATTGAAAAGCCAACATATATTTTCTTTTTCCTGTTCATATGGTAAAATTCTTGTCAGAGGACCCATCTCCATTGCCATATAATTCATTATAGACTCATATAATGCAGTTCAGTGTAGTTAAACTGCATTGTATTGAGTCTACACTTGCCATACCATGCAGTTTCAAACTGCATTATGTGGCAGTGCAGATGAGGCCTCAGCAGGGGTGTTGTATTGCTGTGGATTGAATTGCTTAAGATGTCAGGAATGAAAATTCATCCTGTTTGGAGTATTTTAAAATTCTTTGTAATTTGCTTTTACCCATCAGGTTCATTGCTCTACAGTCTTATTTATCATCTGCTTTGACTTATAAAAAAGTAATTGTACTTACTTGAAGTCTGCTGATTCCAAACTTGCAACAAAGATGAAGCCTATTTGTAATATTGTGAAGCACGAAGCCTCCTGAGCTTCTTTTAGCTGGATTACAATCTACTTTCTTTACAGGATCGTGAGCTGATTGACCCCTTTCCAATTCCACTAGTTGTAATTGGAAGCAAATATGATATGTTTCATGTAAGTATTTGTTCAATTTCTTCCACTTTGTCTTTGTATAGAACACATGTGGGTTGTTCTTTGGCTATTTTGAGGGGGGGGGGATGGGGCTCATTCAATCAACTTTTCAGACACTTCAGCAGAAACCAAGGCCAAAGGTCCTATGCAACCTCTCCTAGGGCCTTGTAGTTTATCTCAACTTTATACTCTTACTTCTTAAAGTTCTGCTGTTAACATTTGAAGTCTTAAATTATCTTTGTTGTTGTTGCTGTTGTTTGCTTATATATTGACTCAAACTCACAACAGTTTTATGATGGAGAAGCCTCCAAGAGCCCTGTTCAGGTCTTGTAAACTAAAAGCTGTGGTTTCCTTGATTTAATCAATCCGCATGTAATGTTGCCACCTCCTCTTCTTTCTATCTTCCACTTTACCAAGCTGTAATGTGAGTCCACAGGTATGACTGTGTTTTAGAATTTTTAAATTTTATTGATTGACTAGCTTGGGGACCCGGCGTTGCCCGGGTTATTAGAGAAAGTGGGTAATGGCGGTTCTGTATGCCAAGTTTGGTCTTTATTGGTCTTTGGATAATGGCTGCATTATTTTCAGGAAGTGAGTGAAGGTACTTGAAGTCCCATCATCCATGGGCCATCCTCCTACAAACAGCAGCAGGATATAGAGTGGGTCATGGGGCTCTGTGTGCCAAGTTTGGTCTTTATCAGTCATTAGATGAGGGTGGCAGTGGTGTCCATAAGTGAGTGAAGGTACTGCAAGTCCCATCACCCAAAGTCCATCCCCCCCTTTTTTTTTAATAATCATCTTTATTGATTTTTAATATATATAAACAATTACATCATTCCAGAAAGAAGAAAAAAACAAACAAAGGAATAAAAAGAACCGAGTTACACACTTACACTTGCATCCTGATACATATATACCTAAACAACTATCTCTCCTGTGCAGTACAGCTGGATCAGGGAAAGTGGGGAAGGGAATATGGGGAACGGGATAAGGGGGGGAGGGAGGGGAGGGCTTAACACTGGGTAAGAAGTAACAACAAACATCACATTGGGGCCTTACACAAACTACGACTATCAACAAAACAATCAACAAAACATATTGACTTCCCAACATTCCACGGGGTCATGTAACTTGTAAGTCTATTTCATTTACTTATTTGTTTTTCTGACCGTCTTCCCGAACCTTAAAGCAGAACATTCTTCCTGTTTTTCAGATATTCCTTTAAGGGATGCCAGTTTATTTTCCTTTTCTTGCTGGTTTCGTACAGAATGTTTGCTAGAGTGTCCATTTCCATGTAATCCCCAATTTTTATCCACCAGGCCTCCATTGTTGGGAGTTCCTTGGATTTCCACTTACTTGCAAACACTGTTCTAGCTGCGGCTGACAAATGATATAGCAACATCTCCTTGTTTCTATCTAACTCAAAATCTATTAAATGCAGTAAATAATATTCTGCCTTGAGTTCGAATTTTACTTGCAGAATTCCCTGCACCTGTAAATGTACCTCTCTCCAGAAGCTCTTTACTTTTTTACATTGCCACCAAACATGATAATACGTGCCCACTTGTGTGCCACACTTCCAACACTCATTGCTAACTCCTTTATAGAATTTTGCCAATCTTTGAGGGGTAAGATGCCAGCGAAAAAAAATTTTTTGCCAGCTTTCTGTTATGTTCATTGATTTTGCGAACTTTATTTTTTCCCTCCAGATAATTTCCCATTCCTTTAGCAAAATAGAATGTCCCAAGTCTACAGCCCAGGAGACCATGTTTTCCTTAATGAGTTCCGTCTCTGTTTCCCACTCCAACAGTTTTTGGTATAGGGATTTTATCAGTTTTCTATCCTTCCTCAGGATTCCATCCCAGAATGACTCCTGTTGTGTAAAATCATGTTTCTTATCTTCCTTGTAGCAATCAGTAATTTGGATGTACTGGAACCAAGACAGGTTCTCATCCAGCTTCCTCAGCGCTTCCAATGATTTTAACTTCCAGTGGCTTCCCTCCTTCTCTAGTAATACCTTATACGTATGCCATCTATCCTTAGGAAACTCTCTCTTGTGGGCCGCCTCTAACGGTGAGAGCCACAATGGCGTTTTGGTGTACATTCTGTCCTTATACCTGTCCCAGACCTTTAATAAAGCGGATCTGACAAAATGGTTCGAGAAATTTTTCTCAATCTTAGATTTCCCGTGCCAGAGATAGGCATGCCAGCCTCTCCTTAGGTCGTGGCCCTCCAAATTTAGCAATTTCTTTTTTTTTAGAGTAGCCCAGTCTTTCACCCAGGTCAAGGTGCAGGCATCATAATATAGCTGCAGGTCGGGTAAGCTAAGCCCCCCTCTCTCCCTCCCATCTATCAGAATCTTATATTTGATCCTCGCTCTTTTTCCGTTCCAAATAAACTTCAAGATATCCTTTCTCCATTGGGAGAAGCAATATTTTGTTCTCAATACGGGGATCATTTGGAATAAGTAAATCATTTTAGGGAGTATATTTGACTTGACTATCGCTATTCTGCCCGCCAAACTTAAATTCCATTGTTTCCAGCTCACTAATTTCTTACCAATCTCCTTCCATACGGGTTCATAATTATTTTTTACCAACTGCGAGTTACTTGCCGTTAGATGGACTCCTAAATATTTCACTCTATTGGTTACTAGAGAAAGTGGGTAATGGCGGTTCTGTATGCCAAGTTTGGTCTTTATTGGTCTTTGGATAATGGCTGCATTATTTTCAGGAAGTGAGTGAAGGTACTTGAAGTCCCATCATCCATGGGCCATCCTCCTACAAACAGCAGCAGGATATAGAGTGGGTCATGGGGGCTCTGTGTGCCAAGTTTGGTCTTGATCAGTCATTGGATGAGGGTCGCAGTGGTCAATAATTGAGTGAAGGTACTGCAAGTCCCATCATCCATGGTCCACCCTCCTCCAAACTGCAGCAGGTTGCAGAGTGGGTCATGGGGGCTCTTTGTGCCAATTTGGTCTTGATCAGTCATTGGATGAGGGTCACAGTTTCAGGAAGTGAGTGAAGGTACTGCAAGTCCCATCATCCATTGTCCGTCCTCCTCCAAACTGCAGCAGGATGTAGAGTCGCTCATGGGGGCTCTGTGTGCCAAGTTTGGTCTTGATTGGTCATTACATGAGGGTTGCACCAGTCTTGGGAAGTGAGTGGAGGTACTTGAAGTCCCATCATCCATAGTCTGTTCTCTCCCAAACCTCACCAGAATGTTGAGTTGGCCATGGGGGCTCTGTGTGCCAAGTTTGGTCTTCATCAGTCATTGGATGAGGGTCTCAGTGGTTTCACTGAGTGAAGGTACTCTAAGTCCCATTGTCCATGGTGCATCATCCTCCAAACCGTACCAGGATGTAGAGTGCATCATGGAGACCCAGTGTGCCAAGTTTGGTCCTTATCGGAAATTGGATGATGGTTGCAGTGGTCTCAGGAATTGAGCGAAGATACTGCAAGTCCCATAATCCATGCTCGATCCACAGTC